CGCCCTAGCAGGCGGACCCTTAGAGTTTCTTCTCTTTGGATCCTCCCCTGCTAGGTCGGTCCCTCCGTGTATTTCCCGTAGCTTTTATTCACGCTTTGGATCCTCCCCTGCTAGGCTTTCGTCGGAGTCTCCAGGGTTGCCCTTACAAGTCCTCCTCAGATTGCATAAACGGCTGCTTTCCCTTTTTCCTCATCTCCTCCACAAGCCATTCATTACGGAGTGAAATCATTTCATCGAGAAAGAAATTATATCTGAGCCACTTCAGTTGACCGATAAATGGAGGAAGTAAAATACCTAGCAACAGACATCTCCCGTGTAATAGCTTGAAAAGCACCAAACCAGACGTTGACCTGCTCTGCAACCGACGAGTTGAAGGTCCATGCAGGTTTACCATTTCTTGTAGTGCGTAACTCCGAGAAAAGGGAGGGAATGTTGTTGGCATTACAAAATGGTTCGTCGTGGTTTTTGTTAGCATGAAAGACATCCACAACAAGTCGGGTATGTTTGAAAAAGCTATCACCTTGAGCTTGTAAATGTTTCAGCAACTGACAGGCTTTATCATAGAAGATATGAGTCGGAGACAACCAAGGCTGAGGAAATACACACTTCAAGAATTCCTGTATGAGTACATTTAGAATAGAGTGGACTCTATAGGAATAAAACTCTGACCTTGGCCGATGCAGGGCCTTCCGCCGAAAAAAAAATGTGGCTCGAGCAGTGATAATTCCGCAGCACATAACAAACAACTGTTCATTATGAGTCCAACGCCGAGCAGTTCGCAGCTTTGGTTTCCTAGTAGTAGGGCTCTGTTCAACCGGAGTTGAATTGCTGGAAGATATCAGAGCCAATGTGGACTCAAGTGCTGGTTTGCGGCGGTTACGAGGAACATTATCTTTGGCTAGACGGCGACTAAGATCACGGAAGGCTGCATCTGCTTGGTTCTGAAGCTCCAGCTCTAGTTCTCGATGAGCAGGAAGTGCACACGTAATGAAATCGGGAGGGGTAGACTGGGTGCATCCGGAAATGTGACAAAGAAGTGCGTTGTTGCGATGCTCAGAACAATAATGGTCTTTGACGGATTGAAGTGGGTTTTGACAATTCGCTTCTGCACAACAAGGATGGCCCAACGTGACTCCATCCATGGTGCCGGCACGGATGAAATCTGGTCCCAGGTATTCAGAACATATGGAGTCAGATATAATAAGGAAAAAGACGCACTCAGCTCGCCATTTGGGCCATAAGAGAATTTTAAACAGTCTAAACAAGCATGAAGATATTGGGGCTGTCCGTTTCCTGCCATGAGAATATTGTATAGATGGAGTGCTGGGTCAAAACGGTGCTCTTGTATTCCATGATGTGGCAAAGTCAGTAAACGACTATACCGGGTGCTTCGTCGAATGAGAGCATGCATAAAAAAGCCATCTAGGATAGCACTGGCTTGTAACTCGGGCTTGAGTGCCAGATCTGGGCTCATGATGTCGGTTTGACCCAAATTAGCATTATATAGCCGGGCTAGATTTGTAGTAGAAGTGCTAACGCACTCAGTGAGTATCGAGAATATGGTCTACAACTGCAAGTAGAACGTACTGTGACAAACAAATCTGTAGCTCAAAGTATTCACATAGTTGATCCTCAAGAAAAGAGGTATCTTGAGCCTGAATATAGGTCTTCACTTCTGGATAATATAGGCGTACAGCGGCTGGATTGCTGGCTTGTGCAACAGCATAGCTATAATGGTATCGTGTGTAGCATTCTAGATTGAAGGTATTAGGTGATTATATATTAGATCCAGGAAAAAATATATACTTCGGCAATATAAAGAGATCTCGTATGCGGGCAAAATTCCTCGACGCAAAGGTGAAGAGACGACAAAAGGTCTTGACCGGATGACTTAGTCGTGCACGACCATACTGAGGATCTGGGCAGAGCTGATAGGGTGGGTACAACATCTCAGCCCCTATGAATAAATAAGTCAGGTTTGAACATGGCTACAAAATAACTGGTGTACCAAGTCCCAATCGTTCTCCATGTAACCGAAACACGTCATCTATAGGCTCAACAAGCAGTGGTGTAGTCCATGCAGGGATTTGGGGTGCTAGCACATGCCAAAGGTCTTGGAGATCTTTTGTTTGGATTTCTCCAAGGACTGGTTGAAGTACAGACACCAGAAGAGATATTACTTCAGGTGGTAGCAAATTAGGCACAACGCCTGCATTGCTTAATTGCAGGTATTCCTATAGACGAGTCAAAATTGAGACAGTGAGAAGAATAGCATGGAGCTGGAGCTGCTGAGAGGCAAGAGTAGCTGCAAGAAGAGGCAATGAGTTGGTGGAATCCATTAGAAAAGAGATGATGTGATGTCACATTTACTTGGTCGAAACGTTGAAATCCTCCAATAACCCCAAGGGAAACTTATAATGTCCCTGAGGGTACATGAACATCTAGCCATTAGGCAAATTAGGAATATCCCTGAAGGTTTGTCTAAAGAACACTGAGGTTGCTCTACCTATTCCACTTCAGGTACATAGAGAACTTAACCTCAGGCAAGTTGGCTAGAGACCTTGAGGGAATTTGAGATATTAGACATAAGTTATAATGTTTATTTAACTATAGGCAAATCTAAAGTACCACTGCAGTGTTATTATAATAGCCCTGTGGTTGTTTTGTACAAATTGCCTCCAGGTAAAAGTTAGTACTGTCCCCCTCGGGAAACTGGTAGTATAACATAAGTAACAGTGGTTGCCGTCCCCGTGCCGTGCCATGTACCATGTGTTGAAGTTCTGATGGTCACAGTGTGACTCGCCGGAATGTTCTGGCACTTTCCACTTTCTGCTGACTGATATTTTTCCTGATTGCCTGAGAATATACTAGAAGAATGTATAACTACAGTCACAGCGAAATTATAGGCAGATTCCTTTTTGGGTAGGTCACATTTCCCACCAGCCAAAATGCCATCAAAACCAGCGATATCGCCATTTTTTTTAGAAAAACACTATGCTACATGTGAACGAACTATCTATGGTACATTAGGAGACATTAGTAGTCAATCCAGTAGAAATTATTTGCCTTTAAAGCCTCTAATCGACGAGGGAATGAATAATATGTGTGAATAGTGTATGTAATAAACCCCGGGGAGCCCCAAACCTCCTTCGCGATGGAAAAGATATCCTCCCGGGTCTTGGCGGTCATGTAGCGAGGGAAGTGGGGAGGAGTAGCGGGACCAAGCCAAGGTGGTGCTCGCGGTTTTGTTGCTGGATGTGGCGGAGGCTGTGTTGAATTTCGAGTGCCGCGTGACCCAACAAACGCGTCGACGCGTCAACAAACGCGGTGGGCGTGCTCGAGAAGGACAAGGACAAGGGTATCAATGAGGTCACATAAATTCATCACGCGTTACATGGTACTACCCAAAAAGGAATCTGCCTATAATTTCGCCGTGACTGTAGTATATAAACAGAATAGATAGTCAGCGTAGGGCATCGTTTGCCCTAACGCACAGATCCCTCACAGGAGTGTGATTGCAAACTGATTGCGCTCACTTTGATCCCATCGCTCTCCGGATCACTCGGAATTTCAACACAAACGATCACGGTACACGGCACCGTTAACCCGCCCAGCATCGCGCCTCTGCCCGCGCATGCGTTGGCCGCTGTCCGACCTCACCGTCGACCGCTATCCCTTGGCCATGCCCATCGGCTCCACGCGCCGAAGCCCTGTCACTGCGCGCTTCTTCGCTTGGCGTTCCCACGCGCTCCCACGACGTCTCGGATTCATCGACGCCGCGCCGAGCCCGTTCCCCGCTTGAGGCCGCCGCCCTCTGCCTCTCGCAACTGGCTGCCGCCACTCTTGTGTTCTCAGGCCGGCAACCACGCTACCCCCATCGCTATGATGCGATCGAACTGTCGGCATTGACGCCGCCGGGCGTGCTGGACTCTTCTCGTTGATACACTCTGGGACTTGGCAACCGCTGTCTCACCTTCGGTCTTCCGCTTGCAACCGGAGCATGGCCGGTCTCCCGCGAACTCGACGCGCTGCGCATTGCTCCCCGCTTCCGACCTGGCTCCCAACTCAGCCAGATCAACCCTCTGGGACCTGCTCTCTGTCCCACTGGCTACCCGCTCACGATCAGAGCGAGTGCCATGCTGCCCGCTGCTTATGCGCCATTTATCTGGCATTCCCGCGGCCTGTCAGCACCCGTCAGCCGTCCTCCCGCACTCATTACTGCTTCCACCGCGAACGACGACGACGCTCTAAAAGATGAAAGCACCCATGGTCACTGGCACTTCCTTCATCGACTATACCCCCCACCTACCCTACAGCAACTCTAATCCTTCACCCACCTTCTTCCCACCCTGGATATTCACTCCCGACGGCACCCATGTCCAAAACCCAAACAGTACTTTGACCGTGACGATCTGGACATGTAGGCCTCAGCAATCCGAGTGTGCTGACACTTGCGGATGAGGCGCGCGAGCCGGCGACGGACTGCCAAAGGGCTGCGTAACTTGGTGTACTACATGATGCCAGAGGTATCTATGGACGGCAATCAGTTGATGGGGGAGCACGGACGGAATGGGGGAGCGGCTCGTCATGGGGGAGTGTTGAAGTTCTGATGGTCACAGTGTGACTCGCCGGAATGTTCTGGCACTTTCCACTTTCTGCTGACTGATATTTTTCCTGATTGCCTGAGAATATACTAGGAGAATGTATAACTAGTATATAAACAGAATAGATAGTCAGCGTAGGGCATCGTTTGCCCTAACGCACAGATCCCTCACAGGAGTGTGATTGCAAACTGATTGCGCTCACTTTGATCCCATCGCTCTCCGGATCACTCGGAATTTCAACACCATGGCACGGCACGGCACACAGGAACAGGAACTTTCTGCAAAGCATACGCTGAATGATGCATACAATATGATACACCAAATTCGTAATATTGTATCTGTATCAAGTTTGGACAACACTACAAGCTTGACCTCAATTTTGCATGTTCACTTTTTTCAGCACGAGGTCTTCTGAACCAAGGGAACGGAGGTCGGGCATGCTCCTGGCAGGGACCCGATGGTGGGGCCGGTGTTGGTGATGGTCAAGACGCCATCAACGTTCTGGACAAGATTAGCAAGCAAAACCTGACTTCCTCACGGACAACCCACACGGTAGACACACGCCGGGCTCTTGTTGGGGATCGCGGGCGTGTCGTAGCTAAGCAAGATTGAGTGTGTTAATGCTGAATGCTGATCCACTCACTTGCACTGGACAGTGTTGCCGCTCGTTTGCCATTGCAAGGTGAGGGTGCGCGTCAGCCCTTGGTAGAAGATGCTCGGCGCGCAGACACCACAGGAGACTGCCGTCACGCCGGGAATGAGGCTGACTGCAGCAACAGTCGCGAAGAGCGCAAGACGGGACAACATGCTTGGAGTTCTGCCTCTCCGCAAAGTGAGCATCGACCCTTTTATACGCTTCGACGCCCAAGGCGACACCGAAACTGGGTCTGGAGCAGCCCATGCCAGTGCTCTTCTCGAGGAACCAAGCGCTCAACCGCCCGTCAAAAGTCCACATATGCCGGTAAATGGCCTTCCATGGCGATTCATTCACCACACACCAAGCGCAAGATCCGCCAACTGCCAGGCCTTCGAATTCGCTGGTGGGAAAAGAAAGGACCCCCCGACAACCCCCTTAGAGGCCGGAGGCCGGGTTTTGGGGTTTTTATCCGGTCATTCTTTAGGCCCTTTTTACCCGAATTTTGCCTCCGGGGTCCCAGGAGGTCTCATTTGTACCCAGTTTCGACCCCCCCCCAGCGTTGGAGGGTAATGCCAAAAAACCCGGGGCTCGGAAATAAGGTGAATGAGCTCTTCGGGGATGGAAAACCAGTGCAACACAGGATCGAACATCGGCGGGAACCTAATTAGGGGCGCAGAACCGCACGAGGATGGCCGGTTACGCCAAGAAGGATTAGGGTGGAAGTTACCCAGTCAGGCCTCCGGCCCCCCCTAGAACACGGCCATTTTTTGACACCTGAGGCCCCCGGCTTAATTTAAGCCATTTTTACCCAGTTTACCCCCGGCCTCGGCCAAAATTTGGTCAAAATTTACCCTGTCGGGGCTTCGGCATTTGAGGGGGTTGTCGGGGGTCCTGAAAAGAACGGCCGCGATGGTCTGCGGGACCCCAAAACTTGAGAGAAGGTACCGGTAGTGCTGATCAAGAATCTACAGGATGGTGCCTGCCTTTTGACGCTGCGCGTCATTCTTGCAGTCCAAGGATTCCAATCCAAATACCCACTTGATTATTGCCTCTTCGCGGCACGACACGCACGTTGGCATCCATAATTGCGGGGCTTGGTAGGAACCCAAACATTGTCTCCGTAACCACCACTGGCATTTAATCATAACCTATGGGATCTTCAAGCTACCCGCCCCGGCCCGACAGCTTAGCACGACGTCTTCTGCACCAGCGAAATCACGGTTGGACACGCGCCGCCAGTGTTGCTAATCGTCAAGATTCTACAGCACCCAGTCAGCGAAAGCCATTCCACGGTGGATGCAACCTACGCGGTAAGTGCAGAAGGGATTCAAGCCAGAGATCGGCGGAGTGTCGTAGCTGGCAAGGTCACGGTCAACCCCGAGACCAATAAATCTGCTTGGAAACTTACTTGCACTGGACGGTATTTCCGCTCGTTTCGAGCTGGACGGTAAGGCTGCGCGTGAGGCCCTGGAAGAATATGCTTGAGGCGCAGACACCGCACGATACGGCGCTAGCGCCTGAGATCGCGGCAAGGCTGGCGACGAGGAGGGAAAGAGGGCGCAAAACCATTGTGTAGTGTCCGACTCGTGCGCTAAGCTCTGTTGGCTTGGCTGTTTGCCAATGCCGTGGACAACCCTCTTTTATAGCCCAGCGGTATTTCTCATGCTGCAGCCAACGCGACAAGTCCTAGAGGCTGCAGGCCACATCCTTCCTTCTTGCTGGCTCCAAGGCACTAACAAAAATGTCAGTCACAGGTCGTGGCCAGCCAGTAGGAAAAGCGGAGCTCGGGATAAAACGACTGAAAGCCTGAGTTGGAACTTCGCACGGGCGAAAACAACCTGATGCCGAGTTGAGGTCAGTAGGATTGTTGGTCAACAACTGAGGCTGCTATCCTCTCGCCCGCTTCTTCTTCTTTCTAGAGCTCGAGGTACCAACATACAGAAACGCCAGTCAACGGTCATATCCACCAAGAGAAGAAGTTGAAACATGCACCAACTTTTTTCAGCTTCCATCTGTCGCCCAAAATAACTCCTCATGCCAAGCACAACCTCCGCAGAGTGTCGTTGGCCAATAATGATCAAGCGAGAGCATCCGAGTACCTGCAAATTGACAATTGGAATGGACTTGAACGCTTCTTCCCTCGGCTTGCGTCAAGATGATTGCATCGAGTTGGATTCTTCTACAGTGCTGTCGTGGTACAATAAGCGATAACTAAACGGAGAATACAAGAAGAATAAGCACTGCAAAAAGTAAGAAAAGCTTAACCTGAATGACTATTCAAAGTCCATCTCGTCTTCCTTCACGTCTCTCACGAACTCCGACACATACTGCAGCAACTCTCTCGCTGCCGGCGTGCGATCCCATTCCGTCCGGTGGTGCCACACCTTGCCCACACATGTCGCCCGTAACTGCTCAAGTTGTTCGATTGACATACCCGCGGTCGAGTCCGACAAGGCAGCTTCGAGCTCAGAAACGAGCATATCGTCGATGACAAAGTCCGGCAGGGGCGGCGGCGGAGTTGGGGTCCGCTCAACTTCAATTATTAGCGTAGGCTCAGAGACGATCACGGGCGGCTGTTCTGGTTGCGGCTCGGGTTCAAGCGATTTGGGGCGGGGAGAAGGCGAAGAAGGAGCAACAGGATCGCTGTCGGGCATTGGAATAAGTAGAGATTGTATCGACATGGAAGATGTTGAAGCAACAGGCGGGGGTGAAAACCGGGTTTGTGTGATGAATGGGTCCTGTGCCATTTGCTCTGATCCTTGCTGTAGCTCAAAATGAACCGTCGGGACAGTCGGCAAAGTATCCAAAGGGTCGTCTGATTCGTCAGGATTGACAGTCCCCGTTCTTGACCGCTTTAAGCCTCGAGGTCCACCAGCCCCCTCGTCTGCTGAGCCACCATGCGAATCTGTCCCCGCTCCGTCAGAACGCTGTCTCTTCAGCCTTCGCTCCAACTGAACCGGGTCCGTAATCGTCAACTCAGGCTGAAGACCGTTATTTCGCGCGCTTCTTCTCGTTCCAGCAGGCGCATCCGACCCACTCGCATTACCACTCTCCTTCTCCTTCCCCTTGTTCGCATCTTTAGCCGCCTTGATGGCCTCCCCTTGCCGCCGCCCGTCTCGATCGCTCCCTGACCGCCATACGCTCACACTCAAGCCGCAATTGAGGGTCAAACTCGTGCATGCTGACCTCCGTCGCCGTCAGCATCGCTTGCGCCTTATACAGCCGCTCGATGTCTTCTGCCTGACGTGTTGCCGCATTATGCACCATTTTGCGAACATCTTCGAGGAAGTCGTCAGGCGTCAGATACCGGCCTTTGTACAGATAAGTGTGCATTCTTTCCAGGTCAATGTCGTAGAGAGTTTGTTGCTCTGGCGCAGGGGGTGGGGGTGGAGGGAGTTGAGGTTGTTCGAGCTCTGGCACAATTCCGTTCACGTGACCATTGACAAGTGGCTGTGCATCACCGACAACATCGATGTGCTGGGTTGTCGCCGTCCGGACGACCGGAGAGGTCGTGACGACTTCCAAGGAGTCGTTTTGTTGTTGAACATCCTCCATTAGCACGGTTTCGAAGCTGTACTCCTCTGTGGCCCGCTTGGTGAACCGCTTGAACTTCCTTTTGAGTGCAGTCAAGATTGGCTCGAGTCGATATTTTAACAGCGCCAGCACTCGCTGATCATTTTCCTCTTGCACGGCGAGTTCTGCAGCCGATGGTTTTCTTGGTTCAATCGGCGGAGCGATCTCCAACACTTCCAGTACCCGTTTTCTTCGCGGCATCCCATCAGCATATTCATTTGGTGGTCGGCGCAGGTCTTTGATTAAGGACGAGAAGAATTGGTGACGAGATTGTGAATTCGGGGCGTCGAGTTGGACACGGCCACTCTTTCCAACACCAAACCACCCCCTAACATCTTTGGGAAGCTCTCCAAATGCGCCGTCGACAACTGCGAGAAGGAGAACAGGGTCGGATGGAGCAAGTGTGTCAAGCATTGCTCGGACAGTTGCACGAGAAGTTTCGGAGACAGCGGCACACCAGCCAAGGAGAGCAGGAATGTAAATGACAGCTGGAGCATGTCGTTTGGCTTCAACGAAAAGTTGCACTATTGCGGCTTCAGGAGTCTATATATTGTTTAGTTTGACCATGTAGCCTCCAGATAGGACCACAAACCCGAGTCGAATCACTTAGCAGCGCGCCAAGTTCCAAGCTTTGCACATGATAACCTTCCAGATGATGTAATGCTGCTGCTCCAACAAATGTCTGACCCATTCCCATAGCACCATAAAGAACAACTCGAGGACGATATAGACGTAAAGAAGCCATCGCTGGAAGCAGATGAGAAAATCACAATGAGCGAATGGAGCATAACACACATTGCATAGTCATTTCCCTTTCCAAAGCACCGGCTTCGCCACCCACGTCTTCGAATTCGGCCTCTTCTAAGGCGCTAAGCTTCTTGTCGACAGGCAATACCATTGCGATCGCGCTTTTCACGCGTTCCAGTGGGTCGCCTAGTAATGGTACAAGCTGCTGCGGAAGAGGAGTCGCAACTGATGAGGAAGACCGTGCGGCCGAAGGAACCAACTCTGAGAAAGTTGATCAGCGATAACGCGATCACGAGGTAATAACGCGCACTCTTAATGGAGATCATGAAGTCGCGCAAACCAACTTCGATTGTGTCCGGCTTGAGCAGAAGGCGTTCTGAAGTTTTGTATATTTGAGGGTAGCGTCGTTGCACGGCATTTAATGCTGCTTCAGTACAGAGAGCCTGACTAGTGTCAGTGCAAAGATAGAAAGACGAAACCAGATCACACACTCTTAAATCAGCTCCACCATAACCCTTGGTCATTGAGGCAAGCCCTTTGAGTCGCTCCCGCCCTTCTTCGGAATCCCAGCCCTTCCAACCCTTTGTCATGATATTCAAGATCTTCTCACGAGCCTCGGCACCAGGCAGCGCAAAGTAAAATTCTCGGTCAAATCGCCCAGGTCGTCTCAGTGCAGGATCGATCGCATCCGGTCTGTTTGTAGCACCAATGACTACAACTGAGCCTCGTCCGTCCATACCGTCCATAAGCGCAAGTAACGTAGCAACAATAGATGCATGGATCTGGTCTTGTTTGGAAGAACGGACTGGCGCAAGACCGTCGATTTCGTCGAAAAAGATGATACTGGGTTGATGGGCGCGGGCTTCTTCAAAGAGCAAACGAAGCTGTCGTTCGGCTTCGCCAACCCATTTCGAAAGAATGTCCGCTCCTTTTCGCATGAAGAACGTGATTTGGCGCCCGTTGGTACGACACGACGCTGCAAGCGCCCGTGCAAGGAGGGTTTTGCCAGTACCAGGAGGTCCATGGAAAAGAACTCCGCGCGGGGGTGTAACCTTGAATTGTTGGAAGACTTCGGGATAAAGGAGGGGAAGTAGGGTCATTTCCTTGAGGGCATGAATGTCTAAGGAGGACATTAATATTATGGGAGAGAAAAATCAATGGAAAGCGACGTACGTTCATCTAAGCCACCGACTTCGTCAAATGTAACATTTTGGTTCACACCCAATGGATCCGCGTCAGCCAGCGCAGCATCCCCCACTTTCCCCAGACCAAGATTGCCCATGTTTCCCGGCGTCGACGAAAAACCCATTGCGACAGGCTTTCTCGGTGTACGAGGAACACCAGCCCCTGGGTTATCCGAGTCAGAATCGTCAGGACCACCCATTCCCATCCATCTCCCCAGTTCTGTTCCATTCGCACTCCAACCGGGCCCTGGCCTCGTTTTTTTGCGATGCGGTGGAGGCCTGGATGGTGGTGGGCGAGGCATTTCTTCTAGTGGTGGCGGGATAGCATAGTTGATCCTCTGTCGCTGGCGTAACGAATATGGCTTTCCATCATCTTCTTCGTCTTCTGCCTGCTCTCGCGCTCTTCGACGGGAGCGCTCTTCCATTTGCTCTTGATCCTCTATTAGCTCCCCAATGTTGTCATCAACCTCTCCTTCAGCATCAATGTCGGAATCGGGATGGGTGTCTGAAGTCTGGTTTCCAGGGGAGTAGTTGTCCTGTGCTTGCTGCCGCTGCCGCCGCTGAAGCCTCTTTTCACGCTCAGAAGGGCCATTTCGTTTGGCCGCGCCAGTGTAAGTGTTAGAGCGAGTCTGTGGCTTAGGCTGCTGCTGCTTCGTCCTGCGGGAACGGAGAACTCGTCGACCGTATTCGTTGCCGTCAAACAGTCCCTGTTCTTCTTCCTCATCTTCAGTAACAAATGCATCGAGATTTCCGTTTCGTCGTTTGGTACGCGGCCCGATAGGTTCGCTTTCGTCGGAATGAGCGCCGCTCCCAATAAAGTCATCAGGCTCTTCGCCCCCACTTTCTGCATAGTTCATCTTTGCATGCTTTCGACCACGCTGCGATATGGCTATGACTGGCTTCTCGGGCGATTCTTGCTCAAAGTCCTCCATAGGTTCGTCGTGGTTGGACGGCGAAGTCATAGTGTACTCTGACCCCGACCCACTCTTGCGCCGGTTTGAGCGGCGGAGTCCGTTCCCGTCAAACGACATAGTAGAGTGGGAAAAGTCGAGAGGGACGCTGCGTCGGGGTCGCTGTGGCGGTCGAGAGAAAGGAAAGATGTCACTGTCACACATGTGACAGTCTGTTTCTCACAGACAACAAACCTCAAAATCCCGTCCTCGATGCATCCTGGGGGGTCCCCAGAGGCTCCGAAAACTTGTTTTTCATAGCTGCAACTAGTTTTCTTGACGACTCATAAGCAAAAACGCGAAACAAAGCCGAGAACCCGCTCGAAATCGCGCTTTGCGACCCTCCCCAGCTTGAAGATTGTCGTCGGAGCTTTTTTTGCCACCGCAAATCGACGCGACGAGCTTAACGCGTTCAAACCGGCCCTGAAGTGATGACATCAGCAGTCAACAAAATGTTGTCACGAACGTGACTTCCACCCTCATCCTTTCATTCCAAGCGCACCTAGTTCCAGACCAAGTTTTCTCGCGTTTGCGACCAGCAGCAACCATGCCAGTCATTCGAACCGCGCAATTCAAGATCCCGACCATCTACTACGCACCCACAAGAGCGAAACTTGACGAAACTTACTTCCCCACCACTGCTGCACTAAGAGACGTTTATCGCACAGACGATGGCAAGGTCAGCGGCACCTTAACCGCTCGCATACACTTACTTCCGTCCTCCAGCGTGTTACTCAGCACCAATGGGATGTCTACGACTACACGAGAACGATCCCGGCTGGGAAAGTCGTTACCTACAAAGATGTATGTGAGGCCATTGGCGGCAGTCCTCGTTCAGGTGAGTTTTAACCCGAGTGTCTCTCCTAGAGAACCTATTTCAGTCGGTGGTGCTCTTCGTGTCAATCCATTCGCTCCTTTTGTTCCCTGCCATCGCGTTATTGCCTCCAACCTCTTCATCGGCGGGTTTGTGGGCGAGTGGGGCAAAGAGCACAAGACGGGTACCCAGTGCGATCGCAAGCTCGCGCTGCTGGCGCAAGAGGGGGTCAGTTTCACGGAAGAAGGATTTCTAGTTGGACGAGACAAGTTATGGAAGCGATAGCCTTCTTTTTTATTCGTCACTGTAACCATCCTATTCACCATGTACAGTATTTGTATCGTATGAAGAGCAAACTATAATGGAATTTTTTGTCATCTAGTCGGTCATGTTCTCACTTCCCACATCGCATGAAAACTTCTCCCCGAACCCTCACCATCCACGACCCAGACCACCGCATCTCGCTTCTCTCAGGCCCAATCGACTACCAACGCATTCTTCCAGCTCATTGCGACTCTGAATCGGAGAACTGTCATGTTCATCTTACCCGTGCCTCCCGTATTGGCTGTGGACACCATGCAAACGTCTATCGCGTCACTCTGGCTGACTACCCGTTTTCTGTTGTGGCCAAAGTCGCCGTTCCGCGTCAAGCAGCGCGCGATTTTCTCGAACATGAAGCCAAGGTCTACGCTGAGCTCCCAGCGGCTTTGTACTCCGATCTCGTCATTCCTCGATTCCTCGGGTACTATATATCCCGCAACGACGTTGAAGCCAGCCCAATCTTACTCCTGGAGGAATGCGGGGAGCCAATTGACCCAGCAGTGCTTTCAGACGACAACAAGTGCGTGCAATTCTTATTCCAATGCCCTGGAACGAGCTCATAGTAACAGAACACAGATTTTGAACCTCTTTCACCGTCTCCACGAAGCAGGCTACCTCCAGAAGTCTCCCTTCCGCAAAAACATTCTCGTTGCCAGTGACTCCGAACAGCGGTTTCGCATTATCGACCTAGGGCGGGCAGAGAAAGTCGCGGCGGGAGCACCAGAGATAGCGGAGGAAATGCGTGAAGTGAAGAAACTATTGCGAGTACGACAGGCGCAATCAGTAACCCAGCCGGACCAATCTTAATATTCTTTTTGGTATTTCAATGGTATTTGGTATTTGAAGCTCGAAGCCGCCATTGACTGTGAGTTGGCGTGCCCCGCGTGGGACCTAGGCCATTATTATTATTATTATTGACTCAGTCTGAATCGAATTTCAAATTGTCCAAGTGATTCGTAAATTGAGTGTATTTGATAAAAAGGCACCAAAACTACCACAAGCTAACGAGTAGAATTAAGTCGAACGGTCGCAGAGTACCACTGGTAACTCTGCTCTCCATCGATGTTCTAAGGGGAGTAAAGAGCAATTGCTCCTGGTCGGGCAGGCCCAATTCTCCGAAGGGCACCCGCTCTTGTTTTGCCGACTTGACGGTCATAGATGCGACAAAACACTTCATCGCCAATGACTCTCAATCAGGTCTGGCAAGATCAGTCTATACCACTGACCCATCTGCTTCTTCCACAACGGTCGATCCACCGATTCTCAATCGGGGAGTCCATATATATCGCAAGTGTCGACGGTCGAATTAGCTGATCGCGGGGCTTGAATACGCCTTCGTTCGTCGCTGTGTCGATTCTCGATCGAAACTTGCTGCCGGTCGCATCCCAAGGGTACCTTGCTCCACGCCATGAACTCCTCCGACGGTCAGTGGCCCGATTCTCGATTGTGGAATGATGCAGGTGTTGAGCCTACGCGGATCTTGCTGCTTAGTTGGCTCGAAGAATGTGGATAGGTCGTTTGCGTTTGCGCTTCGATTCCCAACCAACAACCTCGAAACCACACCACTCCCCCTCTATAACACACTCCTAAGGGATAATGGCAATCGCGGGGTCGGTTATGTCACCCGCACGAATATGGTGGGTTTGGGGAGCGTGTCGAGACAGTAAGAACTCCCAGGCGTCCCCGGTTGTGTCGTCTGTTCACCAATTCTTCCACGTCCATCACCCAAACAATGCCCAATTGTTTACAGTGTCGATCAAACCTTCCTTCGGTCGTTGCCGTCGACTCAGTCGGAATGCATCTGTATCGCAAGTCAGTATTACACGGGACTTGGAAGACAAGGGCTCACTTTGTAGGACGGAAGCGCCATTTTCTTTTAGAAAAAACTTAAAAGTCCGCTCGGCCATCTCCGTTAATGTGTTGTAGCAAATATGTTGAGAGGGAAGCCGATGGTTTAATGTCGGACCAGAAGTCCCCAGAGGCGTTTAAGCTTGCGAACAGTGATGGCCTGGTAGATGCTGTCAGTCTCACGAGCGGAAAAAATCACTTGACCGACTGACAGCTTCACAATATACGAAACAAAATATTGGGGGTCCAACGGCAAGCTATATAAGTAATCAATACGTGTCAATTCCCTTGGAGAGGATACTAACCAGAAGACGGAGCCACGATATGTGTTGCCAGAGTAGGCCGGTCTTCACATTAGGATGGAGGATGCAGTGGAACTGGGCTGCTATCCAAAGAGCAACATTGTCGGAGAGCGCGTCAATGGCTGGTTGGCGGATAGAGCGCGGGAGCCAGATGCCACATAAGATGTGGAGGTACGGCATGTAGACAATGTAGGCCACCATCCATAAAACAAGCCGCGGGACCATGGAAAGAACGCAGCATCCTGCGACAGCCATCGTATGAATGACGAGTACGAAGCATTCAAAGGGCCCAGACCAGATTGTCGAAATTGTTGCGTGGATGAGACGGACAAAGCTTGTCGTCGCAAGATGGGTCACGTGAAGGAAAAGATAAATCATGATAGGAGCAACGAGGAGCTGCAATAGTTCAGATAACAACCAAGAAAAGACTCGAAAACCACACACAGATATAAGCTCGGGGTCCCAGTCAACCGACATGAGTTCTTGGTAGGGCGCGGACCGGCCAATGCGCCAACTGAGCCCATACAGTAGAGTTAAGGTCAATTCTTGGGAGAGTGGGTTGCACCACAAGTCCAGAAAAGTCGGTAGTATGAAGAATATGGCCAGAAGTCGCGACCCAACCGATGTTGCGAGAATTTGTCTCCGCAAGCGGCAAAGTGGGGTGCGTAGGACAATCCAAGATGCGTGACTAGAAGCGAAGAGGAGGATGTCGTTCAGGTTGACAGTATACCGTCCGTAGTACGACTCGGCGACGATGGACGCAAGGAGCCCGCAGGTGGTTTGGAGAATATGGAACGCGTGGCTGAGGTTGGCCGCAAGGAAATGAGAGACACAGGATGGCCTCAAGACCAAATTTGGAAGATTGGTAAGGTATACCACTGCACACAGCATGCCAATTTCAGCTCGTGGATATAACCATAGGCTGAGAGGGCGGCACTTTACACGGAAGATGAGGGACACACATAAGCCAACGGAGCTTATATATGCCACAATCCCAAGCCAATTCACGAGTGGCTGTTCGATGCTAGGGACGCAAGATGACGGGGGGTCGATGCTGGTCGTTCTCGTCGGCCAACGAACCAGGTCCAATGGCAGAAAATCGACATCTTTCTTCTCCTCGACGATGGGATGCGGTAGAGAAAGAAGAAGGATTAATTTGGCACCAAGGAAGATGCTTTGAGTGGGAGTTATTATGGTAAATAAACGGCGCAGAGACGATGGGATTGAGAGCATGGTGGGCTCAGACAAGTCGTATGACAGTGGAGGTAACAAGCGTGACAAGCTGAGTTGATATCCGCCATCACGTGCCTGCACGTCTCGGTCATTCGCGTTCTTTCTGCTTCGTCCATCTCGCCCAGTGCACGACGATACGCTGTCTCAAACGACGACAACAGAATAATTGGTAGATTTTCGTCTAGGCTTATCTCTCAACCTGACCAATATTGTCAAATATTAGTAACGGCGAGAGGTCAGAAACAAACGATTGCAAGACCGCGCAGCTTCCTCGCCAAACACAAAGCCTGTCCCCTTGTGTAAGCAGTCATCGTGAGTAGAACATTTTTAACTCGCTGCCAAAATCGCTGATGGTGTTCATCTTGCCAGGTCGATGGTACTCTTGCGCTATCTGCTGTTCTTGCTTGCCGCCGTCTCGAAGATACCATGGAATCCGACGATGGGGCCGGCATTAATGTCTGGGGCAATCGAAGGTTACTCCCGCTTTCTCAAGACGCGCCTCAAGTATCGCCTCCCTCCTTCACCACCGCGGCAACCGAATGCAGCGCTTCGAGCTCGACTGAATCCTCCACGAAACACATGCTCGCCCATAGAGCCGTTTTCTTGCAGCGAAACTCTACCAGATTCTATTTCACGATCACGGCGTCCAGCAACTCCGCTTGAAGGTCGCAAACTTGAACATCATATCTGTGGGGAGGTCGGAAGCCACACTGCCGCAAACTCCATCCGCATCGCGTTTCAGACTGTCGACTCCGAGCCAGCGCCATCAAGTATGGAAACAGAGACACGATTGCGCAAGGGCGAATGCACAGCACATTCGGTCCTGAAGGTGATGTGGAAGAGAACAAGGCTTCGACTGGGCTCCAACGCGCCATTGATTCGCTCCCAGACCCACAAAGTGGCGTCGGAGCAGTGGTGTTCCACTTTGTTCTGGGGACTATATTGCAGAAAATCGCTTGGATATTCGTCGGTCCCATTGTCTGGTGGTTTATTGAAGCTCTACAACCACTCCTTCACAAGTTACTTGAGTTTTGGGGACCGGGGGAAGAAGAACTTGTACCTGCAGACAATAATGACCATTTAGACCCTTTGGACGTGGCGCTAGGGCAGGCACCAATCGAAGGTACAGTTGGTTCGAGCTCGGTCTCTCATTGCCAACATTATATCCACTTCTTGTTTGCAGGTGTCGTTCATCAATGGGCCGGTGACGATATTGTCTTCCATCTCGAGCCACAGCTCGTTGAGCAAGAAGAAGGTGAAACAATAGGGTTGACAGGATAGTTTGCTGACCGGTTACAGGAGGATTTGGAGAAAATCATGTCGGGGATGGAGTCGTCGGGAAAGCACATGATCCTCATCAGCGTGAGTGTCACGATTACCAAAGCAAGAAATTTCCCTCAAGGACACGACCACATGCGATTCCAGCAGAGTTTCCAGGCCGGGATAAAGACAAATGGGACCCAATGCACAATAACGACATTAGTGTCATTGGTGAGCTTGCTCCTGCGACCTTACTTCGGGTTCGGTAACCAGCTGTAGAGCATCCACTTGATGGATTGCCGCCCATAAGAGCCGCCGTGGAGGAGAACGAAACGACACAGAATCGTGAGTGTACATTCATGAACCATGGAGCTCAAGGCCAATTGTTCAATAGCATTGCTGCCGGATCATCACCATAAGGAAGGCGATGTGGATGAAGATTATTGCCGGTGAATACAAACACGTCGGTGTGTTTCAACTATCTACACAACTTGTCCCAACTGCTCACTCAGACAAGGCAAGAACAATCATGAGCGCGTGCGGGAAGCCAAGACCGAGAATGAAAACCAGGTAGAACACCGGTATGCTTTCCGAAGACTGCTGATATATCTTCTCTTACTTCATATCATTAGACTTGGAGGAAGACAAGACAACAGAAAAGAGTGCGTATCCTTGCTCAAATCATGGTCGCACTCTCTTATTCTCAAACCCCAAGGCCAACTTCACGAGACAGAGACAGGACATTACGATGAGACACAAGGTCGACATTCACTCCCTTGCGTTGTCTGTCTGACCATTGCCACTACAGACATTACGGCTCGCGATGAAAACAACCATTTGATTGGGCGAGATGTCGAAGCGGTCACATACGGTATGCTTGGTCGTATGCTTGGTCAACTTCCTTTCGACCGAGATCTGATTCATAAACAGACAACGACGAATTCGAAGACGGAAATCGTGCTTTCATTGTTGCCAGCGATAGTCAAGAAGATGTGGTGGACAATCCACCCGGTTTATTCCAGAGACACCACGCAAAGCCGTCGGTGCTATATCACAAGGTCTATCTCGTTCATTTGGCCGAGTCGCCTGGCTCATTGCTTCAGATATAATCACCTCCAAACCTGGGCAAGAGATAATCCTGACGACTTCTTTCCCATTCGCTCCCGTCTCTTTTCATGTCTCCGTTTCTCCTCCACGGTCAACCCTTGGGAGTAAGCTTGCTGCGCAACGGCGAGAATATAAAGCGCGCCACGGGCATGTTTCTCCGGATGCTGCCAGCAGAAAAGGAAAAGGGCGAGCAGTGACGGCGGATGAGCTGTTCGAATCCAGCCATATTACAAACACTATTGAAAATGATCCAGTGGCAGCCCGTCTTCCTGCAATTTTCACAGGTCTGCTTATTCCTTGTTGTGACCCGAAAAGTTCTGACAGTGCGCAGACTCCGTCCTGGTCCACCCACAACATCTCTTCCGCCACACCGCTCACTATGTCGCCCCTGGAAGACTTAGTTTTGCTGACATTCGTCAAATGTCGGCAGCGTCAAATCATGAACGGGGTGCTTCTCAACAAGTCCCAAGCGATACGGTGACGGACAGCAGCATAAAAGCAGATAGGAGAGGCCGCTCCCAAACAGCTGAGGTGATTATGGATGCTCGCATTCTTGTGGATTTAAACGGCCCTTGCCATCAACGAGCAATCTCAGACGGCACGCGTTGCAAGTTCTTTCCTTCGGGCATCCCGCGTCCACGCGGACCGATTTCTTTCCCAAGACGAGAACGTAGCCGAGCGGACAGTGGACCAGCGTCTGCTGCTGTCAACCTTGTTGAAACTCGTCCATTCATGCCGGAGTTGGCGGGCGACGAGAACGAGCAACCTGATCCAGTCAACTCGCAGGACATCGCACCAAGCGAAGGCCCTAATTTGATGCATTCCAACCTGTCTGCATTTCGCAGCCAAATGCGTCTCAGCGAGCTCGGGCCGATCGCACACATCTCGTCTTCTCAGATCTGGGCAACCGAAACCCCTACGACTCCTCCCGGAAGCCCACTCAAATCCGTCGACATGCCTTGCAAAGATTCGAGCACCAATGCCAGTGAACAAGTCAACCCTCTTGCCCAGCCAATATTGGCTGTTGTTGCAGCAGAGTCGACAGAAATGACTCGTTCGGAACGAATCCGTCATCTCCCCACTCACCTTCGTCAACAATTGGGACGGGATATCGAATCCGGCGACTTGACATTTCTGGAAGAATGTGGGCCCGCGGTGCCAGTTGCGTTGGTGCACTCAACCGCTCTGGTGCCTGTTGCGCAGATCGAAGCAGTGAAGACAGGCTGTACCGCGCTCAATACCACCCCTTCCTCTGGTTCTTTATGGTCGACAACTAGTCGTTCATACATGTCGTTGAGTGAGCTCGGCGTTGGTCCTTCTTCAACGTTGACGGAGGCTTTGGGCAAGCTCCCCAATGCGGATAAACTGTTGGGGGATTTTTCTCCAACAAAAAGTCGGCCAGTCAGGATCGCTCCAGTAGGTTTTTCGGGGGAAGAGGAAGGGTCGGGTTTGACGCGGTCTGAACGCGTGGATCGTTTGCCTGCGCATTATCAAGGTCAACATGGTAACAATGTCCAGTCAGGAGACATCGTCTTCCTCGAGGATATGCACGATGGTGCTGGCCCTCGAGCGCTGGCTCATTCCACTGGGGTATCATGTGCCAAGGTTGGGGGAGAACGGGCGGAGGATGTCATGGACTCGGATATGGTTGAAGTCGTTGTTAAACAGGCAGCAGATAATAGGCAGGCAACCTTCATATGATTTAGATTATTGTTGTACTTTGTTCATATCAGGCTGTGCTTGATATCTTTACGCTGGAGGTTCTTTTCTGTCGTATGAGCTTTCCCCACTGAAATCCACGTGACCTTCGCGTCGCGTTTTTAACTCCAGCCACAACTTTGGCATAACATCGTCAGGCAACTTCGCATTCAGATGGCGACAAACGACGACAGACCGCGAGTTCTACTGGTCTCTTTCGAGTTCATGGAGTTCTTTGACGACACGTACAAACCTCTGATTGAAGCTTTGAGCGAAAAAGCTGCTGTACAACGCGTCAAAACGGCAAACCCTGCTATTCGCACATTGGAGCAGGACCCCAAGGCTGTTCTCATCACGGACGGAGGGATTGCCAATGAGCTTGGGAAATACGGACGCGTTTGGGATGCAATTCTTGCTTATGTCCGACGGGGAGGTACTGCGATTGTGATGGGCCACTTTTCGAGCTTCGTCAAGCCAGACAACATCAAGCCGTTCTTCGCAAAGGCCGGGCTGTCGTGGGAGAGAGGGTCTTACCACCGGACTACGACAACGTTGAACCGCACGAATGCTGGGCCAATGGCGGACAAGTTGCCTGCGAGTTATAGTCAGAAGGCATTGTCGGTGAACAAGGTCGATCCAGCCCACGTTTGGTACGCGTCAACAGCTGAATCGGTTGTCGAATCGCATGTCTTTGCGCCGACCTCGGCGCATACCCCTTCAGAGGCAGCAGTGGCGCTGGCGGTGGTGGGAGATGGGAAGTTGGCGTATCTGGGAGATGTCAATGCAGAAGACGGGTCGAATGATGCAGTTTTGGCGATGTGTGGCTTCTTGTGAAGATGGTATTTATTCAAAGTTCTTCTTCTTCGCTGAGTTTTAACTGATACACATTGTCAGTAGGCAGAATATGATGTACAGTATCTTCTATGACAAATTTTGCGTCGCGTTCCACACCATTTTCAGCAAGAAAGGTCACGTGATAATTGTGACCCTCCTTCATGTCGACGACGACTGGCCAAACGAACAGGGCACCGATATATCTGGGGAAATTCATTGGAGAGGGCGCTTTCGTAGGTAAATTCCAGCTCATACCTCAGAGGCTTTGAACATCAACCCCGCTAGGCGTTTGTCTTCAAAGGTTACCTGCCTTCGGGCGGAGTTGTAGCTGTGAAAAAGTCGCGGGTCTCGCTACGAGTCAAGCGTCCGTCCCTGCAGCATGAGGCCCGGATTCTTGCAATGGTTCAAGGCCATCGAGGTATTGCGCAACTGGTTGGTTACTACCGCGGGCCGCATTTTGAGTACATCGCTATGGAGCTCTTGGGCCCACCAATAAAGAGCCAAATCCACGACGACCTGAACGCTCTGGCCCCCGAAACAGTGGCGCGTATTGCCATCCAGCTTGTGTGTCTCCTTCTCCTTTCTAGTGTTTGCTGAAAGTCAAACAGTTTTCTGCTCTTGATCACATTCACTCTCGAGGCATCGTCCATCGTGATATCACGCCAGAAAACATTCTTCGTTCCCTTGAAAACCCCTCCAAAATTTGTCTCGTCGACTTTGGCATTTCTCTGCCTGTTACCCCTATCTCTTCAGAGAGCCCTATCGGTCCTAAGAACTTTCGGAGGCCCGTTGGAACGCTAAGTTGGTGTAGCCTGAGCTCTCATCACGGCAATGGTGCGCTTTTTTCTTCTACTTGCTGACATTTTTTGCTAATGCTTGTAGCAATTTGTCCACCTGATGATCTCGAGTCAACACTTTTTGTACTCCTCTTTCTCCTCGCCGCCTCGCTCCCATGGCACATACCACATAACTACGGCGAAAAGCTGTCTGCTACTATCATCAGGATCGAAGAATCCAAGAGTGCGTTCGTTGGCAGCGCGTTGGAAGATGTCGACTGCGTTCTGGCGTTGCGATTGGGGCAGATACTTGATCGTATTCGTGGAGCTGAAATACCACTCGGCGTTACACCTCCCTATGCAGAGCTGGTTGCCCAAATTCTCGCCGTATCGAAATGCACACTGGAACTCGATCAGCAGCTGCCTTTGGATTGGACCCCCTGCTCTCCGCCGCCTATCTTGAACCAGCGTTTGGCACATCCCCCGGCAATGCGTTCGGACGAAAAGACGGAAGCCCCGACCGATCCCGTTGACGTCAAATTGGTCAATGACTTGAAAGACAGCCGCGGCGACAAGTATCCCGACAGCAACGCCTCTGACTACCAATACACGTGGTTCCCCAACTACAATCGCGACCGCAGCCTCACCCTCCCGGAAGCACAAGCCGCGATATGCGACGAGAATCTTCCCGCATGTTGTGTGGCACCGGGCCATCTTTCTGGCTTAGACGAGCCGGTATATTCGGATTCTGCCCAGATGTGGTCGTTTCAACAAGGCTACTACGTGTCACATCCAGGGCCGTAGTCGTCAGAGTAATATACTTTGTTCGTCATTGACATTGCTACATGCACCTGCAAAGCGCTATACTGTTGATACTTACAGCAGGTTGGCGGAGAACGGACTGGGGATTGGCCTTGATGGATAAATCCTCCACTAACTTCAATTCGGCACTTGAACTGCTATTCCCACTTTTTGCGATTTGTAAAACTCAATGTATTGCAGAAAGGCACTAGTACTACACGCTAAGGGAAAGTAATTACGACGGTCACAGGGCACCATTGGTAACTCTGCGCTCCAATCGATCTTCTACGCAAACGAAGAGGAAGATCTTCCTGGCCGGGGAAAACACATCCCTTCTCCCACAACGGTCAGGCCACCGATTCTCGATCGGAGAGTCCATATCGCAAGTGTCGACGGTCGAAATAGCTGATCGCGGGGCTTACAGAAGCCTTCGTTCGTCGCTGTGTCGATTCTCGATCGAGACTTGCTGCTGTCGCTTCCCAAGGGTCGGTTGCCCGATTCTCGCTTGCTCCGCGCTTTGGACTCCTCCAACGGTCAGTGGTCTGATTCTCGATTGTGTGTGAAGATGTTAAATCTTGAGGGTTGAGCGGATATTCCTTCATTGACAGGTCGGTATCCCAACTCGTGGACCTAATTAGGGCAGCATCTGAATATGCGCAGGTCTTGTTGGATTCTCGCTCGAAAGATGTGTTGTCATTTCTGGTGAACACATTAGATTAAGAATCGGTTAGAAGATCGAACATTACCGGCCCAAGAGCCCAGGAATCCATAAAAATGGAGACGGAGAGAGAGAGAGAGGAGACACAAGCAAAAAAGCTCAGCTGATGATCTTTGGGGATAAGGAATGTGGTGGTCGCATGTCGTGCTTCTCTTTGTCTCCGTTATTACTAGTCCGATAACTTGATGGTGGTCGTGATTGGCGAGTGTCGCAATCGCGGGGCTGTAGGTCCCTAACGGCAATGAATCGATCCAGAAGATGTTGGAATGAAAGCGCGAAAACTTCAGGCGTCCCTGAGGTAGTTCGAGTCCTTTTCGCGTCTCTTCTGCTGATAGATTGATTGCTAAACCTGGGTCCACGCCGTCGTTCGTTGCAGTCAGTCAACCACCACTCATCCTGCTATTATCCGCTCGATTCGATGCATCCAACTTGACGGCAGCATACCATCATTGAAGACGCCTCAATAAGCGAAGAAAAGTCCTTCGCAATCGAGGCCATAATGGCACCTGTGCGGATTAGGTTAACAGCGAACTCAGCAAGAAAGGCAAAAATCTACCAGCTCGAGCCTAGTATGAAAAATGAGGGGCGGAAGCACGACCAACTGTAATGTTAGTCAGCGGTAAGTAGTTTCAGCTGCTGCTGCGATGACTGACCACCAACATCACCCAATCAGATCTGAGACTGGCAATGCCCTTAATGATAATGTATTGAGCGCTCTCGAGGGACTTTCCACGCCAAATTTCGGCGTGAATTCGTTGCTTGTGTTCGTGTTGAATAACCTCGAAGGCCGATAATGATTGGTCGCTTGAGAGAACTACGATCTCGGCAACGATAATGTTCAGGAGGATTATCCAAAGAACAGAGAAAATGGCAACGTGGGGAAGGGTCAGGATAATGACGATTGCTGCTTGTGTGCATCGGTGAAAAATCAAGCGGAACCGAAGACGGAGGTCAATGAAGAGAGCCTCTGGGAGGAAAAGTGCCGAAAAGCTGGACGCTGAATGGGACAAGATGATGCAAAGTATATGCACTACCCCGGGGCCAATTAACAACTGTCAACGAGATGAGAAGGAATCAAGAACGGACACAAAGTGCGCACCATGATAGTGTCATGCGGCCATGGGATGACATATTTCATCCAACTCACAGCGCCAACAATGCTTCGCTGTAACTGAGCGTTCAAGACTCTTTGAGTCGTCCGGCTAACGGTGAAGCAAAATAGCCACAAGGTGTCTCGAGCAAAACGGAAAGTAGTCAAGAGGACGACAGTGGATATGAAGATTGCGTGTTTGAGAGGAAGGATAAGCTCCCAGTCGTCTCGGCCAGGCGCGAGGGGAAATTCGAGGGGGAGCCATGCACGCGTGTATGGCCGATAAATTCGTCGTATGCATAAGATGTAGCATAGTTGGCTTGCACTGACGACGACCGCGACGGAGAATCCGGACCGAACATCTCCCATATCGACATCAACGACTCGCCAGAGAAGAGAAAACAGATTCTCTATTGCAAAAGGGAGAGTGGCAAGGGTTCGACTCAAACAATGCGGGTTAACACTGGGGTACGCCTCCAGATACCATATGAGACTGGAAGATCCACAAATCATCATTTTTCCAACCCATCTAGATCTCGAATGCGCGTTGCGGAACGGCTTTCTTGCAATAAGAAGCAAAGTAACGAATGTACCTATCAAGAGAGGGTAAAACGTCACGGCAGCCCATGAGATGGACGGCTGGGGGAGCAAGGGGGAGCAAGGGGTAGGGAGTTTGAAAGTGATGGTTTTGGTTGGCCACACTGGAATGAGTGGCGCAGTCGCAATATCCTTGTTCTCCCCGAATTCACCGCTGAGAACAGCCCGAATGATATGAACGAGCTTGGCACCAAGCAAGAGAGTCTGTACGGGGCGGACGATGGGAATGCGGAAGTTGCGAACAGACGAAATCGAGTACATGGCTTCAGGAAGTCAAGAGTGGACCGTGACCGATTTGATGTCACATCTGATTGAAGGCTATCACGTGGACCCAATCAGCCTCTTCAGTCGCACGTTTCTATTTCTCGTTTTCCCCCACTCCAGCGAAACTCAAGCTCAAGTATATCGACCATCAGCTACCTCGCAGAACGCCGACAGCATCCTAGGGTCGAGAAGACTTGCTCCAAGCTGCTTGAAAGACGAAACCCGGTTGTTCGACATTCTCAGTCTGAGCACCATACGAGCTTCTCGCTGTTCCTATCTACAACTCTAGTGTCGCCAGTAATACCGACAGTGGGAATAGCCTAGCCTACAAATTGTGCGTGCTACTTATTTACCCTCCGTCAAATTCTGACGACAATTCTCAAGTTCTAAACAATGCTTGTCCTCCCTCTCCTCTTCATCATGACTCTGGTGGTCCCAATTGTAAACAACCCTCGCTTATTTCGGACTCGTGAAGATCGCATACCGACCATAGGACGATACTTCGAAATCATCGATGAACTCTACACCAAGCAGCTTTTAAATTCAGCAAGCCTTGCGATATCTCGTCTGGACCCTCCACCCAATGTTCACTCAAGCCTCACACTCTTGGGAACACTGCGAGATCCATTTTCTCACTGCCCTCTCCGACAGCCATTCTTCTGTCTGGTAGACGACCATCCGTCGATCCCTGTGCCTGTTTATATCAATCTCTGGCAAAACATAATCAGCACCCTTCATGCTTTGCCCCGCCACTCGTTGAAAGGTCTTTTCTCACATCTTTTGTGGTGGCTTCTCTTCATTGCCATTGTCTCGGCTCTGGTTCTCCTACTTCTGGCAGGTCTCAAGAGTGTGTACGACCGCCTTAATCTCCAAAAAATCCGGCAGCTTCTTCCACGCAACGCCTTTCGGCAGCTCATTTTTCTCGTTACCGGTTTTGCGATACCTGCGCCATGGCTTCGAAATCAACCTCAAGCCCTTCAAGCACCACTTGAGCTCGTTGTTCACCCTCTCGTCGTTCAAGCGCCAGCGCCAGACGTTGATGGGGATCTAGACGACAACTTGAATGACCACCGGTTGATATTCGGCAGTACGATCTATCAGTTTGGCAAACAATGAGTCTGGACTGACACATCATCCAACAGATCCACAGCATCGTCTCGCAAGACCGGAAACTAGACTTGATCAACGGCGCGATATTCTTGGTCAACACGCTCTACCACAAGAGGTAATAGAGCTCTTCGCACAGGATCGTGAGCCTTTGTTGTCTCTTCTTCCTGACCACACCTCAACCATACAACAGCAGATCAAGCAATCATATACGAGCATCCTATTCATGAGCCTCAAGAGATGAACCGAAGTATGTCACAATTTGTTTATATTGCCAACTCCACACTTTAACATTCGCCAACTGACGGTGAACATGACGACCTCGGAGATGGTGTGGATAGCACCCGTGTTGCCTTTGTCCACAGTGCGTCCTCTTTTGTTTGCAAACATTGTCTCATCAATATCTCCAATGTTTAGATGAGCTCAATAATAGCGAGCTCTCAACGACTGTAGACCAAGAAAGCAAAGCCGGTCCCTCCGTTGCAGGGTCTTCCCGTTAGTCTTGTCATTTGCGAAGCAGCTTGGTGATTAATTGTTTGCAAAGGCGGGCGGGCTTGCAAGTGTGCGGAGCATGACGATCCCAAATCATCAGCATGCCAACATCAACCGGCGTCTCGTCAAGGTTAGCTGTCCCTTCTTGTGGTTTTCGGTATATTGAAGATGTAGCAGGTCTGGGGGAAACTGTTATCCGTCATTCAAGGGGACCAAAAAATATGGAAAACGGTGGGTCAAATCATCTTTTTCCAGAAATACGCTAATTTCCAGTAGATGTGTTCTCGTCTGGCGTTCAACCTCCACTAAACAGATCTCGCCGTCTATCTCCGACTTCTTTGCTGTCAAAATCGATAGGATCAATCGCCTCCTCTCGTCTAAAAGGCAAAGGACGGGCAGTCGATGAAGCTCCAAGTCGGCAAATGACCACCGTGACGTTCGATGGCGTGTTGGCGGCGAGGATAGAGCGACACAACGCCTCTACTGGCAAGCCTATCTCTCCTTCAGCAATTGGTCGAGCGGCCGGGTGTTCTGCATTAGCTCCAACTACTCTGATTCAGGCCTTGGGCAACCTTGACCAAGCCGATAAGTTGTTGGGGCCCTTCTCCCCCGTCAAAAGGCCAACTGGAGGATCCATTGTCGAGATGCCGAGCGCACAAGTCGACATGAAATCGCAGAACACCCAATTCAGGCCTCATTATCGTGCAAAAACTTCCCTTATCCCCCTTCCACTTGGTCGACCTGCATCTCTGGTGGCGTTAGCGCGCAAATGTCGAGTATCGACCCTTCTCACACCGGCCAACAAGCTAGGAGAGCGACGAAGTACTATCATTGAGGTGCCTAAATCGGACTCGGGCATGAATGCTTCGTCCAAGTCGCCATCTCGCCCATCACCACCGTCAAATTCAACTTCCGTTTCTGTGGGGAACCTGCCTCAAAGCGATACACGGATGTCCATCAGCGAACTAGGTCCGCGTCGTGTAGAGTCTCAGCCAACCCGGAATGCGCCCCCCAATCATCAAGGTGGCCAAGTTGCTGGGAGTTTTGGGAATATTCAGGTCCACCCTGCGCCGCTTGAGGATATCACGCGTTCTCAGCGCGTCAATCGACTACCAGAACACCTCCGTTGTCAACTTCACAATTCTATCGGGCCAGGCGATTTGACGTGCTTAGAAGATCATGCGTGGAAACCCTCTGCTGGGCTTGTCCATTCAATGGTAGTTCCACTTGGATCAGCGTCAGTTCGTATGGGTGATGGAGATGGTAATGGGCAGGCACAACAAGGGGGTGGAGAAGGGGAATTGGGTGGTGACATAATGAAGAGACAGGCCACGTGGGCCGACAACAGAGGAGCTAGATTTGTCTAAGTGGGCACAGATTCATGAGTGGAGAGAAAAGGAATAAGCGGTTCGGAAGGCTACAACCATTGTTCACACTACACATACGTTGAATATATCCCCATACTTCAAGTCAGTGCTTTATCGCTTGATTGCGAGACTTTAGAGTCAGCCCAGTGGATTAATTGTGTGCGTACTTAGTCGCGCTCAAGCTGATAGATTGTTAACGCAGTCGATTCAGTTGACAAAACACAAAGTTCAGGCCTATTGTGACTTGTCAATTCGTATTAGCTGGGGTCAGTCCCTGAGCACGGCAATCCTGTCTTCACGCTTGAGAGGCAACGACTCGAGTTCGATGGTGGACACGCCACGTAAACCGACCTCCATCTCCTTTAGCTGTGTCAAAAAGCCTGTGTTGGGGCAGATTGCAGGCCGCGCCAGAATCAGGGTGGCCAAGGCCTGGCGAAGAGACATTTCACGATGTTGCATAAGAAACGCGGCAACCACGGTGGGTGAGCGAGACACTGCCGCCGAGCAGTGGACCAGAACTTTCCCACCCGCTTTCGCAACCGCGAGGATGATTGTGTTTGCCTTGGCGCTGACTTCGGAAATTGACGACGAGGGGTCGTCCACCAGCGATAATCGCTCGTAGGTTATTGAGGGCAGAGTTGCGATAGGCGATGAGCCAATGCTCAAGACATGAGTTATGCCTTGGGCCGTGCAGAAAGCGGCAGAAGCTGCCGTTCGTGGGCCAAGATAGAGGTAAGGGAGGACCTGGATAGCAGGAGGGTCATTGGTTGAGTTTTTCTTTGGTTTCTGAGAGCCTTTTGGCATGCTATTAGTTTGTTGTCGCAGCACGAGTCAAGACGCAAATCCGTAGGTCATGTGACAATCTCCGGATCAAAATTTTCTCTTTTCATGTCGGTCACCATCGGGATTCTAGGCAAGCGCTGCTTGCCTCTGGAAAAGGCCAAGGGACCAACACTGCTCTTCCATACAGCCCTTCAAGGCGCATTTGCAGAACACCAGTCAAGACTGCAAAATCTTCATCTCAAACGCAAAATCGCGACTGTGCTCGTGAAGACTACGGAGGACCTCGAGCGATGTGATGGACTCATTATTCCGGGTGGCGGTTCGTCTGGCCAGATCTCATTAAATCTCAGCATGTTCAAATAATCATGCCAGAATCAACCACTATCGCCCTTCTGGCACGGCTTTCGGGTCTGACAGACGCTCTCAAGCAATTCATCCAATCCAAACCGGTCTGGGGCACTTGTGCTGGCGCTATTCTGCTATCGAGATCGGTCACTGGTGCGAAGAAAGACGGACAAGAGCTGTTTGGAGGCGTGTCAGTTGACATTGCGAGGAATGGCTGGGGTTCGCAGGTCAGACGCTTTGAGATAGTGTGCTTTTCTTTACTTATCGCGTTCGCAGGTCGAATCGTTCGAGGCAGCTCTGGACGTCAATGGCCTCTCTGACTCGGCAGTACCGTATACGGGCATCTTCATTCGTGCTCCGGTGTGTTTCTCGTTTTGGATTGAAGTATTAGAGCTGATTGTTTTCCAGGTTGTCATTGGGCTAGATTCAAATGCTGCAATCCAAGTCATCGCACGACTACCACCCAATCTACTTCCAGAGCCAGTGGACGACGAGAATGACCCACGAACTATCGTCGCTCTCCGGGAAGGCCAACATTTGCTGACGACCTTCCATCCTGAGCTGACAAAAGACGATCGGTTTCATGATTACTTTGCGCGGAACTGCGTCTTTCCAACTCTTGCCTCATAGAATACGTAGCTGGAGTATAGATCCCTTTCTGACTCCGATTCCAGACCGCAGAAATCCAATTTGTTGCTCTGTCTTATCTTGACAATGTGCAATGCGTTTCCGACCGAATTCTTGCTCCAATCAGCGCTGTCCACTTGTTGCCCACGCTGATGATCTCATCGACACCGCGCCTCTCCGTAGTCTGTCATGGGAACGCAGAGATGGTGAACACGCTTCTCCGACGATAACAGAAATACTTGCCGTTCTACCCGCATGGCCATATAAAAGGATGCACGAAGGCTTGCGAGCTTTTCCTTCTGCTCGTCCCGTAAAGCACCATGCTTTCCAGTCTATTACTCGGTCTCCCGCTTCTAGCCGCTCTTGCTGGTGTCGCCAATGGCAAGCAAATGACCAAAGCAGAGCTCCACGCCCGACAGCAGGCAGCCGCTCAGCGTTTCCAACGCGCCGCTCCGGTCTCCGACGCAAAAACAAGTGGAGCTCGAGTGAAAAACATCACCTTCTCCAATCCCAAGGCGTCGCGTGTGTCTCAAGCCCTATTTCGTTCTTCTGCACCATGCCTAACCTAGCCCAGAATTCTTCGTCGACGGAAAGAGCATTCCAGAGGTCGACTTTGACGTTGGTCCCAGTTGGTCGGGCCTAATACCTATCAGCGCCGCAGCAAACGAGACGCGAAAGGTGAGTCACAGCATTCGCGGCTCTGAATCTAGTTGATGAATTCCTCTTGAATAGCTGTTCTTCTGGTTCTTCCCCCCTGGCCCCGAAGGCAGTTTAGATGACCTGATATTCTGGTGCGTTGGCGAGCCGCGCGCGCTATTTTCACACTCTGATTAGTGTCACAGGACCGTGCGGTTCTCACACCTGCGCTAAAATTAGTTCCTCTGACTCGTCGTCTAGAATGGCGGTCCGGGGTGCAGCTCGCTGGAGGGTTTCTTGCAGGAAAACGGAGCAAGTCTTGTTCTTCCTGTGGATTTCTACCGCTGGTCTAATCGAACACCAGCCATTCCAATGGGGCGTCGGTACAGCCAAACCCATTCCAAATGTCAACAGCTGGACAAATTTATCAAGTATGATCTGGATCGAGCAACCAGTGGGCACTGGATTCTCCCAGGGAACTCCGAATATTCGTGTACGGCCGGTCTGCTGCTGGAGGGTGAAACTGATTTCTCGCAGAATGAAGATGACCTTGCGGCGCAGCTTGTCGGGTTCATGGGCCAATTCTTGGAAATATTCTCCGAGCTCAAGGGCAAGAAGTTGTGGATTAGCGGCGAAAGTGTGCGTGCCGTCTTCTTCTCTCGATCAGCGACTAAGTTAGTTCTTAGTACGCCGGGATGTATGTTCCATGGAAGTGAAGCTGTTTGCTCCGCGTTTGCCAGCTCACCGACACACAGACATCGCCAACTTCATCTACGAAAATCCAACGTTGCTTGACCTGAACCTACAAGGCATCTGGATTGCCGACCCCGTTCTCGGCTGGGACGTCGTCCAGGACCAAATTCCCGTCGTCGATTTTGTGCACAAATACGAGCACGTATTCTCGTTCAAGTAGGTGATCTCTTGCCCGAGTTTAGAGCAAATTTTGCTCAACTTTTGCAGCCAGAGTTTCATGGCTCAACTCGATGCCGTTGCGGCCCGCTGCAATTATGCTGGTTATATGGATAAATTTGTCACCTTCCCGCCGAAGGGTTTGCTCCCATTGCCAGGCAAATCGACCTCAGCCGATCGCGGATGTGATGTTTGGGATATGGTCTTCGATGCCGCGGTGACAAAGAACCCTGCGTTCAATATCTACCGCATTTTCGATACGGCAAGAAATCCTCTTGGAGATTTCCTCAACTTACCTTGCATCCAGTTCCCTGTTCTCTGGGATGTGCTTGGCTTCCCGTAAACGCGTTCGCCCGTCTGTCTAAGCCCGCTAACGATCATATCAGAGGCTCATTTGAAGACGTCCAATTGTCTCCGCTTTACTTCGACCGCGCTGATGTCAAGGCTGCGATTCATGCCCCCGCCAATGTGGACTGGACTGAATGCTCCAACGTCAGAGTGTTCCCTCGCGGAGATGCCTCTGCGCCATCTGCCTTCACTGTCCTCCCTAACGTTATCGAGAAGAGTGTCCGCAGTGTGGTGAGTGTCGTTCCCCCATTATCTAAAACTGTGTTCAATGGAATCGTAGATTAATCACGGACTGGCCGACTTCATTTTGATTGCTGACGGGTAGGCACTACGCACATCGTCCTGCTGCAGCGCTCACTTCCTTTGTCCAGAACGCGTATCGTCATCCAAAAGTCTGTCCTCCTTCATAGCACAACTTACCACTGAACTCCACCCAGCATGACATGGAACGGCATGCAGGGCTTCCAGACCCCGATTGCCAACGACAGTTTCATCGTCGACGGCGTTGGCTCGCTGGGAACGTCGCACACTGAACGCGGGCTGACCTTCATCGAGGTCGAGCTGAGTGGACATATGATTCCGCAGTTTTCGCCGCTGGTAAGGAACATGATCTGTTGTTGTTGTTGTTGTTGACAATACCCCTAGGCTGCTTTCCAGAGTATGGCGTTCTTGATGGGCTTCCGCCCTTCTCCTTGAGTCATCAGCAAAATGCCGACGCAAAAAATAAAATCCGAGTCTGGGCAGGGAATCAGTAGTTTGCTTGTTAGATTGGATAATGGCATGACTCGGACACGTCCTTGTGCTGGTTGCGACGGATGTTGAAGTGGAAGAGATAGACGTTCGACTGCATTTGGCTTAAAATAAGTCATGGCCGCGGCGAAGCGTACGCGAGCAGTGACGGATCACGGCGTTTGTGACGCCCCGCGTTCCCGATGACCAGGACGACGGCCAAGCTTGGCCAATTTGGCCAAGTGTCATGGAACCAAAAATAGGCTTCAATAAGCCCAGTCAACATTTTGCTTCCGGCCCGGGTCGAGGTAGGCTTGTACTACACAGAATTACAGTCTGCTCACGCTTCCGGATGGTAAGCTTACCGATAGTCTCTGGGTTCGACGACGCCTGTCTGCAGCCTGTTTGCCTCGTATCACCCAGCTCAATTTGTACAACGCGTTCTCAGTCAGTTCTGTTAAGAGTCCAACTGCTACAACTGCGACTGGTGTTCCTGAACATCAAACTGGCTTCTATGCCTTCACCTGCATTGCTCCTGCTCATCATTATCTTCAGCGAAGAACTTGCACTGTCCGGAGCGCTGATGCCAGTGAAGTGGGGCTTCTCTTTATCTGTCAATGTCGTTTTCGAAGATTCGCCCATATGCTGTTTCGACGCGGAGCACATTTTCGTCGCGTCCGCAATAAACGACCTGCCAACCTTCTCTAGAGGAACGGCGCGCAGTCACGGTTTAATCGTGTGCCAGTGCGTGCTTGGCGGTGCGACCAATTGGTAGAGGCCAATCACGGCGACGATTGATGTGTCGATCCGGGGAAGATCACTGGAGCCATCGCAACCATAGGCTGTGGTTGTGCGATAACCGTCTTTCAGCAGCCACTGGCAGATCGAAATGTAAGTCGATGTATCGCTGACCTATGGCCAGGTTACTCAACCAACCGCGACTGAAAAAGTTCAGGACAATCTTGAAGAGTTTTCTGCACTCACAGGTCGGCGCGAGTTTCCGGCCACCATCGGCAAACCACCATCCGCCGGGGTTGGCACATGGGAATGCACCATCTCCATAGAAACAGCTTGGCGAGGACTTACCGAGATCAAGATCTGCGTCAAGCCAGCTATATAAAGCACGCCCCGCCGAAAACCAGTCCCCATTCCCTTCGTTCCGCTCCGACCTGGTGTCTTGTTATCTTTTCGCTCATCCTCTTCCGCTTTACACGCAACTCTCCTCGCTACCCACTTTGATCTGAAATGGCTCGTCTCTTCGCTATCATCGCCACTCTTTTCCTTGCTTCGTCAACAGTTGTTGCTGGTGCGTGTCGTCTTGGGTATATGATGAGGGCTCCATCTTATGCACGCTATCAGCTCCGCTCGATTTCGGAAAGATCCTCAGCAAATGCAACCTTGACCGCTTCAACATCGTCACTTCTCTTGCCGCCACCGGCGTTGCCCTGGCCAAGATTGACACCAGGTCCGTGGTCCTGCTTCTGGCTCTTGTCCCACATCTCAGATCGTACAGTGATGCTGACATGGCTGCGGCTGTCGGCACCGCCAAATCCGGCCTCGTCAGCGCTGGCGAGGGCATCGGCAAGATCGCGCTCGCGCTGATCTCTGGCGGTGCTCCTCCCGCGGACGCACGTGACCAGACCCAGCAGGGCCTGCTCAACGCCCAACAGGCGCTTGCTGGCGTGACCGCAAACGAGAAGACCAAGGCCAGCCTCGCGGCCGCGCAAACCAAACTCGCCAAGACGATTCAGGACGGAAACGATGTTGTCGCTGACTGCCAACCCTCGGCCTAAGGATTGCATTTTTTTTCTTTGGTTGGGTGTGGCTCATGGACTTGGATTGGAACACGACCTATATTAATCTGGGATGCTTCATTGTAATGGTTTTGGAGAGACGAAAGTTTCAATGCAATACGGACTTCGGGCTTCAATTTGTGTGTGAATCTCTCTCTCTTCACTATTGAAAGTCCAGTCAATGGCCGCGCTGCATGACAGTGCGTGTGTCCTTCGATGTAATGCCGCCATGATAGATTATAGTGGACGCCTTTGCGAGCGTGAACACTGAATGAGGCCATTGCAGGGCACTATCTGGGGCTGACAACCCAAATTACCCAACGACAAAGGAAAACGGTGACGAAGCTTGAAGCCGCCAGACGATAATAAGAGTGCCAGGGAGATAAGACGCTGGGAAACTGGTCCTTGCGGATAGGAGTCAGTGGACTAGGGCTGGCTCAACGACATCAACACGCACCTATAGATGTTAAGTACAGATGAGAGACTCGCAGAGAGAAAGCAAGGAATATACCGTGCCACAACTTCACCGCCTGAATGGCTTCACGTCTATTTGCTGCGCTGACGAGTCAATCAGCTCTGTCAGCCGCCTCTCTTGGGTCTCAGGCCGTTTTGCTGACATGACCCAGTCGTACACCTGTCGTCTATACCCCGCTGCCCGCCCCTCCAGGTATTCAGAAGCCTCTGAGTTGGCGGCAAGACGGGCTGCAAACTCATCACTCAGAGTGTGGGCTTGTCGTTCGAAATACGCCTGCGCGGTGTTGTCCTCGGTTCTACGCGCAAAAGCAGCCCTTCCGGGCTCGTGTATTCTTCCCGCGGTCTCGAGAGCAGCGAATTTGTCAACATTGACACGACTCCAATGGCTCTTTTTGGCCCGCGGTGTGAAACGGCGAGCTGTTCGGTTGGCGTCGACACTGCGGGCATGGCCGTCTATCCAGCCCCAGCAAAGCGCTTCGTCAACGGATTCAGACCAAGTCATGGTCTGGTTGCCTGTGTGCTTCTTGTGGAACCCTACGAAAAGCTCAGTGTGGGTGTTGTAGTGGGCCGCGAGCCAGTCGTTAAAGGCGGCAGGCGAGGCGAAATAGAGAGCGTTGTCAAAGCTTGTTCCCGGGGCTGCAGAAGAGGATGTCGAGGCAATTGCTCGTTTGTTTTGTCGAGCCATGGAGACAACAAGAACTTGAACGCGGAGATGACTCGTAAACATTGACGGTCCGAGCCGCCGGTCACGTTTTGATGCCTGCCAGCGCGAGCACGTGCCCAAAACGGGTCTTCAGACCACCACGATGGCGATTCTCGCTCCTTCCTTGTCACCCCCTCCAGCGCCATCCATGACAGCGGCGCCCAAGCCTTTTAAAAATGCGCCTGCCACTGTTTTTCCGCCCAACGGCGAAGCGATGCCAACACCCGACACGGAATCACCCATACCCCGACTTGCGTTGGACGTGGATTCGATTAGTGCGGGACTGGCGTCGGCGCTGGCCACCTCTGTCGTCGCGCATGTTTTATTTCTGAAAAACCAAGTGCCATTGTACGTGGCACACGACCAAAACTGATTGCTAACCAACCTGATTAGCCCCATAATGCAGCTCTCGCGACTGCCAAACGGAAAGGTGCGCTGCTTTAGCCACAGATCTCCTTCTAAGCCACCTCCAGTCCGCGCCGCGTGCACTCAAACTACGAACTGAGCTCCTTACCTCGTTCGACACGCTCTCTTCCCACTTGGACACCACATTCACCGCTCTCTCGACTGCGATGGCGCTCTGCAGGCGTAACCAGAATCGAGCAGATGGCACATGTCGCGCGCAACTTGCGATTCTGGTTGGGCCCAGCATTGGCGCGGCGAAAACCAAAGTGATATTCGTTGTCGACGGGTTGGCAGCGCGAGTCTGGGGCGAGCGTGATGATTCAGACGAAGATGAAAGTGGCGATTCAGAGTCGGAATCCGAATCAGATGGCGAGGATGCATCAGAGCCACCAGAAAGCGACTCTGAAGAGGAAGTCGATAACGAGGAGTCGTCAGAATCTGAGGCGGAGAATTCGTCTTCTCCCCCACGACCAAAACCGCGCATCCCATTCTCCCCAGCACCGTCAACGCCGCCCACAAGCCGCGGCCCGCATGCCCCACGCGAAACAGACAACGAGCAGCAACTAATACGGACCGCGACCCGCCAACTGTCGCATGCGATGGCTACAGCAGAAAGCCTGTCTGCTGAACTCAGTATGTTAGCACCATCCTTTTATTTTCCTTTCACAAATACTTTCGTAGGCTCAACACAAACACACATCCTCCTTCATGCCCCACGGCGATTCAAACACCCTGCGTGGGTGCCGAGACAGACGGTCGGGAATGCGATGGACCGGGCAGCTGCCTCGTTTGCGGAGCAGCTTAGCGGTGATATCAGGGCCACGAAACGAAAGCAAAAAGTCGAAGGGGTGTGGGTCGGATGTCGGACAACGTCAGAACTGTTGGATGGCGAAGATGAAGAGGATGAGATGATTTGGTGGAGCTGGGACGGCAAGATTGTCGGGTTTTCGGACTGGTGAATACTCCACAGAACAGGTACATCACGCCTTCAGTAGGATTCCTAGACCAGCTACCTAACCATCACTCTGTAGAATTTCCAGCCAAGACACCGGTAGATACTTATGTAGAAGCTGAGTAGAGTAAGTCTGTCTACTAGTAGAGTAAGTCTGTCAGTAGAAAACAAAATCATTCCGCCGCATTCTTGGAAACATCTGCCTCGTTTGCGGAGCAGCTTAGCGGTGATATAAAGGCCACAAAAAGTCGAAGGGACTCCAAGAATAAGTCCATCACAGTAGGATTACTAGACCGACTACCTAACCATATATATAGGCATTGTGTAGAATTTTCAGGTAGATGTGTAGAATATCAGATGACTAAGTCAGTGGTAGTGCAAGAAAACAAGATCATTCCGCCGAATCTTCCCAGAAGCTCCGAGCCCATTGCTCCTGCTCCTCGTCCGACATGCCCGCCGTATTCTCAACGATCAAGTCGAATACCTCAGGGTGGTGTTGGCGGATATGATTCGACCGCTGTCGTCGTGAGGCGTTCTGAGGCAGTTCAAACGCATCTCCCTTTCCTCCCTCGGCTTTCCTGCAACGAGTCAGACAAGCACAACACACCAAATACGGGGGGAAAGGCACCGTTTCTCCCAGCACTGCACACACGGGATCATGTGCTGCGAAAACGGCGGGAAACAAACTTGGGTCAGGCACATGGCGAGCATGCGCTCTTCCAGGATTCCTAGGGAGACAAAATCAGTGGGGAGGTTGTTCGGAGAGTGTGATTGTCTCACCTGAAGAGATGTCCTCCAGCTTGATGGGGTGCTGCGTGCTCTTGCAAACACCAGGGTCTAAGAGCGGTCCAACATGGGCATCGGGGGCTTCGAGAGGGAGGGTTTCGACAGCGGACTCGACAGCTAGGGATGCTTTTGGTCCAGATTGGGTTAAAGCAGACGATTCTTGCGGTATAATCGGCCCGGTGTCGTTTTCAGGGACATCTGTTGTCGGAGCAACATATTGCACATAGTACTCCCTCAACGCCGGGGCGGTCTGTCTCCACAGCTCCTCATCGTGCTTGGTATTCTGCGGGACCCCCAAAAGCCCAATATGGGCGAGCACCGAGTTCCAGTCCGTGTTAGCAGCATCACTTCCTGGGTCAACGCAGCGCAGCAAGATCTCGTTGGCCACGTCAACATCAGAAGCGACAAGGTAGAAGTGGTCAGGTTTGGAGGGTGATGGGCGGACAAGGGGATGAGTACTGGCTGGGCCGCTAATTTCAGCGCTCGAATGGTTATTTGAGGACACTTCGTCATCTGAATCCACTGAGAGATCGATAAATACTCGTCCTCCAGAAGTTGTCGGCTGCGGAAGCAGCGGCGGACGCTGTTCTTGGTCGCGCTTGACCTGTACTTCCTGCAAACGTTGTCAGCAAGTCAGTTGCGCGAAGGTAAGTCACCAACCGGGTTCTTTTGAGCATCTGCCTTTGACATTTCCTTCAAAACGGTGAGCCATCCCAATAAACAGCACCAAAAGATTAAGCAGACCTGATTTTCTTTCTCCGATTCAGACCGTCGCAGCGGCATTTCCGAGTCATCGTTTGGCAGATTAGGCAGTGTCCGATTATTATTCGCAGCAGGTCGGATGCCAATCATCTCATCATTTTCGAGCAACTGGTCCACAAACTCCGCCAACTTCCTGGGTTTCTTCTTCGAACGAGGTTTACTTCGCATCAAGGGCTCTGCAGTCACCCGGTTCGAGGCCGGCGTTGCTGGGCTTGCAGAAACCAAAGACGTGCGGTTTGGTGCGTCATCGAGGGCTGGAGACAATGGACGTGAGAGCGGCGCGGGAATAACAGGTTCGGAAGAAGTAGCAGCACGAGAAGAAGAAGAGGTAGGGTGTGGTAGGGAAGCGAGCTTTGGCGTAGGTGCCTCTTCATCGTCAGAGTCCAGCGTCAGATCAACCACCTCCTGGCCCGGTTTCGGCCCAGCATTGACACTTTGCAAGAAAGTCGAAATGGGCTCTGTTTTGACTTGGATTGGTGGCAGAGGTGGTGAAAGTGGAGGTGGAGTCAAGGCATGAGACAAACTGGGAGCCGGTGATGCTGGTATGATTGTTTCGCGATCCACAGCTTGACCAGGACTGGGGGCGTCACGGATGTCCTCCAATATCGGACTCGGCTCGCGAGATGGGACCCTTTCAGGCTCTTCGTTCGATTGCGGAAGCTGCATACGGATGGGAGTTTCTTCTTGCGGCTCTTGCACAACTGGCTGGTGCATGTTGGGCAGAAGAGGTGACTTCACATTCAGAGGCGGCGTAGTTAGCTTCGGTGCCAACTCGTGGCCCGACGGGAGTTCTGAAGTCGGTTGCTTGTCAGAAATGTCAGTGGGCGCAGACTTGATCGCGAAAGAAGGACGAGGCTCGGCTTTTGGTTTCATGCTTGTCGAATGTGGTGGCCTGGGCTTTGGCAACGCCGCTTGAATGGCATTGTTTCCATTGTTTTGTTGTCTGTCCGCAGAAGACCGCGCTTCTTCTTCTATCGCTCGGAACGTGGCCCACGCTGTTGTCGACATTTCAACGCCTTTCGGTCCTTTGTACTTCTCGTAGAACGAGCGAAAGGTACCAATCTCCTTCCAAAATCCTTGACAGTACGCCCACATTCCGACTTTCCACTGCTGCGCAATCGCTCGGCTGTCGGCCCTATCAACCCACGGTTCCTTCTCCCGCATCTCGCTCTTCTTTGTCTTCGTGACCTTGTCAATACGCCTCCCCACCTCGAGCGCCAGCCCGCCGATGTCATCCGCATACGCCCATGACTTCAGTTTGAGCGTGTTGTGAATTGGGTCCTCTCGGTCGAATAGCGCGCTTGCAGCCGCCAGCGTGCCTTCCCATGGCCGTTTAAGAGTCGCCATATGTTTCTGCAGCGCCAAGTCGAATTTAATCAACCACGAATTGAATGAACGAGCACATACCAATCTCGACTTAAACGGAGCAAGCGCCTCCTTACACAGTCTTCTTCTTTCTGCTTCCGCAGCTTTGGCAGCACTTGGTGGTTCTCCGGGAAGAATGTCGTCGTCTTCATCATCTGGCTCCACACGACGTTTCTTTGGAGGACTCGGCTCCAACCCTTTTGAGTGTGACCGCTTCGTTGGAATGGTGCTAGGAGGAAGAGGCTCCGTAGGTTTCTTGTCTGATCCGGTTCGCTTTGGCAGTGGCTTTGGCGTAGATGTCATTGTTGGATGGAAAGTGGAGGAGCTGGGTGTTCGCGACATAGCTGAGAGATCACGTAGAGGATGCGAAGATGGTTTCTTGAGCTTTGTTACTTCGGGTGGTGGTAAAGCTGGTATAGACGGACTGGGGCTTCTGACCGAAGGTGGAGGAGAATAATTGTTGGAGTGAGATGGGGAAGGACTCGTCTCTTTCGCCGGAACAGGCTCAGAGAGTCGAGGGCGCTTGGAATGACCAGTAGTTTGGTCGGGTTTCCGTTTGGCGTTGGGAGGAGCGGATATGGAACTGGTGTTGGGGGTGCCATTGTTTCGAGGAGTAGAGAGAGAAGTATTTGTCTTTGTTGAGATAGAGGTTAGAGTTGAGTCTGACACTCGAGGTCGTTTGGCGGCATCACCACCAGCATGGTCTGCTGGTTTTCGCTTGGCATTCAGTGCTTGTTTCTTGAGTAATTGTTGGAGAAGTATATGGGCCGGTTGGACTAGAAGTAAATTAACCTAAGAGCACAAAATGAAGAAGGAAGACGCACTCATTCGTGCATTCAGGGTTTCTCGCGGCAACCACCCATGCTCCCCCCTCAACAGTGCGATATTGAGCACATACTTGTCATCCTGCGGACACACAATAGGATCCGACCGTCCCTTAGGCCCCATCCAGATCCTCCATCCATCAGGTAGTCGAGCATAGAGTGCGGGTTTGGTCTGATTAGTGTTGAGATAAATGTCGCCGACTGTGCCGATTGAGGGGGTCGGTGGAGAAGGGAAGCTGTAGTGTGTGTGGCTGAACGGGTCATTGCAGAGCGTCGCGGTGGGTTGTTGTGCCATTGTGCATGACGGTTGAGAACTTGAAGCAAGGAGGAGGATTGACAGTCACAGCGTGACATTTCGCGATCTTCTCTTAGGCCCCCGGCGTATGCGCTAAGATGTTCGATCCAAAATGGCATGATTTGGTCAAATTTCGACATAGCTGTTTGGCTTCAGAACATCCGCATAAGGATCTGCTTGCCTGTTTATTCTGCGTCGACATCCGCACAAAGATCGGAGTTTCTCAGCAGCACCAGCATTATTTTGGTCATATTTGTCCGCACAATGGATCAAACATAGAAAACCGAGCTACTACCTTGATACTATGAGCTGATTGAAGCAGAGTTTTCGGGAAATATGATTTGGCTCAAATTTGGATACTGTGAGAGAACACGAAGAATTACAAGAATCTAGGGACCGCATAATGCTTTCGAGGCCCTTGGAAGTCCGCATTGCGATATGACTTGAGCACCAGCAGCACAATCCGACCTCGGACATACAAGGCAAAAGGACCCATTTTCGGCGCATAAATATCGTACATTAGAGCCTTTTTTGGACGACTTTCATCCGCATAACTATCGAACATCTTAGCGAATACGCCGGGGGCCTCTTCTCTTCACAGCGTGACATTTCGCGATCTTCTCTGTTTTGAACCTGTTCAGGACACACGAGCGCTCTTGGCTTAGTTTGCGTTTGCTCAGATGGCCTCGGAGCTGCTGCTCAGGGTACTTACCAGTCTTGCTTGCTCAAGGAAAGGAAAATGCTGACCAAGACGAGTTTAGGTATAAATCGTAAAGAGCGTCATGGATTTACTTACGCGAGCGATGGTAGGGACCTTGTTTCTTGTCGATCCCCGCCTGGATCCCCGCCTGGATGAACATGGCCAATCACAAGGAAACAGAGCTAGGCAGGAAATCCCTTGACACAAGACTTCGAACTTCCTTGCAACTTCATACCAACTTGTCTCCCCCTCACCGTCGGCGGTCGTTTTGACCCGACACTCATCATAATTGCAGGTCTTCCCCCAAGTATAGCACTGAGCACTTGAGACAAGGCAGTCCCGACCTTTTCTTTGGCTCCGTTCCGGGTTGTTTGTTTTGTCGGAAGGGTCTTGCCGGATTCTGTTTTCATCATATGCTATTTTTACCATTTGGCAGGTGCATTTTGAGCCCCTGGCCCGCGGTTCACGTTTCAAGAATCAGCGGTAGCAGCTATAGCAACCCGCAACTTGATTTTTTTTCTTCTCTCTTCTTTCTTTCTAGGCATTGTCATCCTCCTAAATATACTTGGTCAATGAAGAGGCCTCATGCTGCCTCATGTGCCCTGAATCTTTTTTTAACGTTACACGTAGCGCTCAACCAGTTCAATCATTTCAGCTAGTTCGGGGTCATAGGCCCGAGCAGATTGACAGCGACCGACATGCCGAATAAACTGGCGGGTAGAGTTCGGTAACCGTGGACTCCATTTTGATTCGAGCGTAGATGTTGGCTTTGCCAAACCTGGGCCACGCAAGGGTCCAATCCACTCTCCCCATTCTCCCCACGCAAGGCAGAAAAACGACGCTCTAAAGTCAGCATCAACTGATGCGATGGGCGTGACAGCTTCTCAACATCTTCTTCTCCACACCCCGAATTCGATGGTTGCTCCACGACTTCTCTGTTGTACCGCCGGATCCGGACCTGGCCTATGAAACTTCAAAAAAACGATGGACCATGCGGGCACCTTACGGCCACCCCATGGGACCGATTCTAAAATTATATTGGCTCGCCCGATACTTAAATAGACGGGCTACGTTGCCAGCTCTTCTTCGTGTCTTTCCCCCACCTTTCATTCGCCCAACATGCCCGGAGGCGCAGTCGTGTTTGGAACGGCCGACACAAGCCGCATTGAGGCGCCAGTAACCTTCAAGACATACTTTATGTGTGTCTTCGCTGCGTTTGGCGGTATCTTCTTCGGCTACGACACTGGCTGGATGGGTGGTGTCTTGGGAATGCCCTACTTCATCCAGATGTACACCCACAAGCCATATCCCGCAGACCCACGAGCGGCCCATATTCCTTGTGAGTAAATTTTCTCTTAGAGTCACAACCCCCCCCCCGCTTAACGTTGCTCTAGCCGACTTTGCTCTCCCTGGTATGCCCATCGTAGCATCCAGAGAGCCTCAGCTAACACTTTGTAGCCTGGGAGAAGTCGTTGATGACCTCGATTCTCTCTGCTGGTACTTTCTTCGGTGCTCTTATCGCGGTGCGCCAATCGATGTTCTTTTTTGCTCAAAAACTGACTTTTGTAGGGTGACGTTGCGGACACCATTGGTCGTCGTCCTACCATTGTCATTGGCTGTGTGGTTTTCGCTGTTGGCTGCATTCTCGAGATCGCTCCTAAAGACGCTCTCGCTTGCTTTGCTATCGGTCGTGTCATCGCTGGCGCCGGTGTTGGCTTCATCTCCGCCATCATCATCCTCTACATGTCGGAAATTGCCCCCAAAAAAGTCCGTGGTGCACTCGTCTCGGGCTACCAATTCTGCATCACCATTGGCATTTTGCTCGCCAACTGTGTGGTATACGCCACGCAAGACCGCCTCGACACTGGCTCCTACCGTATCCCCATCGGTGTCCAATTTCTCTGGGCCATCATTCTGGGCGGCGGTCTGCTTTTCCTCCCCGAATCGCCGCGTTACTGGGCGAAGAAGGGCGACATCGAGCGCGCCACGGACTGCCTTGCACGTGTCCGTGACCAACCGCGCGACTCGGACTACGTCCAAGACGAGCTTGCGGAAATCATCGCCAACCTGGAGTTTGAGAAGGAGCACATCCCTGCCACTGGCTACGTCGGTTCGTGGCTCGCTTGCTTCAAAGGCTCGATTTGGGATGGCAGCTCTAACATCCGCCGCACTATCGTCGGCACCGGTCTTCAATGCGCCCAGCAGTTCACCGGTATCAACTTCATCTTCTACTTCGGCACGTCCTTCTTCCAAACCCTTGGCACGATCAGCAACCCCTTCCTTATCTCCCTTGTCACGACCCTCGTCAACGTCCTCTCGACGCCGTTCTCGTTCTACATCATCGAGAAGTTCGGCCGTCGCCGCATTCTTCTCATCGGTGGCTCGTTCATGGTCATCTGCCAATATATTGTCGCCATCATTGGCACCGCTGCCCCCCACGCTCAAACTCCGGGGGGCAACCCGGCTGCGGTCAGGGCCGAAATCGCGTTCATCTGCCTCAACATTGCCTCGTTCGCCATGACCTGGGGCCCGGCCGCCTGGGTCGTCGTCGGCGAAATGTTCCCGCTCCCGATCCGCTCCCGCGGCGTGGGAATGTCCACCGCCTCCAATTGGTATGCTTTGCCTTTTCTACCTGGGTCTTGCTAACTCTTAACCAGGTTCTGGAACTGCATTATCGGCGTCATCACCCCGTACTTTGTCTCGACAGACGAGGCCAACCTCGGGCCCAAGGTGTTCTTCATCTGGGCGTCGACCTGCGCTCTTTCTGTCACCTTCGCCTACTTCACGGTCTCTGAGACGAAAGGCCTGTCGCTCGAGCAGGTCGATCAGATGCTCAACGAGACGACGCCGCGCACCTCAAGCAGCTGGAGACCGCACACCACCTGGGCTGCCGAAAAGGGCAAGGTCGGTGCGGCAGAGGAGAAGCTTGAAGATAAGGAGAGCGCTTAATCGCTGTAGTTTCTGCTAGGCTTTACTTGGTATCATAATCTAATCGAGGCTTACTTGGAGCTGAATACATATTAAAATAAGCAAGCGGCTAAATACTGGTGCTGTGGGCAAATACTGCCAGTAATACTAGTAATACTGACGGTGTGACGCTGACATCACATCACCAAGTATCCGTTTTGGGACGGGTTTTGATCCTCCGTGATTATCGGAGGCCCGCGCTTTGCCTAATATTTTTGCAGACAATAATCAATTCAAATGGTGCTTTGTGCTGGATTACATACTATAGATGTACTATGCTCCTTTTCTTGCTCCATAATTTATTTAGTGCTAGAACTGCTGCTGGAACAGCACAAAGGATGAAACAGACACAATAATGTATGTTTGGAAGCAATATCTGGTCTAGAGAGCAGGGAGTCTGTTAAAGCTACACTCTTTGACTATGCTGCCAACCATTTACCATCTCCTTAGGTGCACAGAGCTGCTGCCCACTGTGGTATCCACTGCTGCCTGCTGCTGGTGCGTGAACTACTGATGCTATGTGACTACCGTGACATGATGATGCTCAACTAAGCCGCTGATATCCCATCACACCACTCCTATTTGATGGGTCTGTGACTCTGTGCCACATGGTGTGACGGGCATCGGACCGTGGAACAGCCGGCCGGAAAAAAACCGATTTGGGTTCAGTATTTGCCATCAACAGGTGCCACGTGGCAAAAATATTCAAAAACGGAAATTTTGACAGTATTCTGTGATATTTTACACAAGATATGTCACACACCAAACTGCCTGCCGCAGATGCCTACCGTAGGCCAGATCGATTTGGTTTATTTTTCATTTGAACCTTTTGAGATCGATTTGGTCCGCGTTCAAACCCTGATGGGAACAGAATTCCCAAGTATTTCTGGATAGTTTAGCGACTTTATATATCTGTTTTGAGCCTCAAGGGCTCCAATACTGCCTATTTTCCACATTGGGTTGATGCTCTGTCAGGAACGGGGCCGGCCCGGTGATGAGTGCGGAGTGGGGACTGCAAATGAGCTCTCTAACTAACCAAACCAACAAAAACAACCAAAACTCCACTTGTCGTAGAGAGAAAGATGTATAATGTCGAGTAGGAAAAGTCACAAAACCCAAAAAATCGTCAACTCCTTGTGCGAGTACAGGCCCCTGTGAACAGAGCCTTGGCACAGATGTGTAAGGTTGTAGGGTAGATACGAGTTTCTTGCGAAAAACGTTGATTTGTCGTGCCCCAAAGCGTACTATCGACGAAACTCAGCAATAGAGAAGCGCCAATACGATGCCCGGAGAGTTTATACTCGTTGGATCAGGACTAACTGCCTTAAACCCTCTGAGTTGTCTCGAGTCAGGAACTAACTGCCTTAAACTCTCGACCAGCAACCGAAACCCAATAAACAGCAACCGGAACTCTTGTATTCAGCAACCGAAACCCTCAACCAATAATCCTTCCGACGCGATGATACTATTTCGAAAGAGCTAGCAAGATAGATTGACAAGCTAGATCCCCAGATGCACCTAGTAGAGCGGGGCAATCCGTGAACCTGCCAAATACAAAACAGAGATATAAATACTAAACAGAAATTGATAGAATCAGGGAAAATCTCGAGTAAGAAAAGTAGTCCATGTGCATAATTGTATAGGTATCGTTTCATCATACGGCCCAGAGTCGAAAATCCAGGTCCAGATGACTGGTATCGCGTGTATTGGAGTCAATGACCTGTGTAAATCTTCCGTGTTCGCGACCATCTAGTTTTGCTTGTGAAGAATCCCTCGATCTTGAGTAGGATAAGTGGATAGCTCTGCTTCCCAGCTTTCGATTGACACCCATAACTCGTATCTTGTGCATATGGCCTCAGCGGTGGTTGTCCCAACTCTCCTGGCGCATTTCCAATGTTCAGATGATCTGTTCCTCGACAGTGTTTTAGAGTCGCCGTTGATCACAGGTCCAGGCCCCAGTCAATTGAGTAGGTTTTCGCCGTTTAACCGTCCCTTGGCACTCTCGACCCTCCAGCATGATCCGAAACCACGTTCCAATGATGTCAGTCGTCGATACCAACAGAGATAGGGGTGTCCCTTATCTAGGAGAAGTCGATCTCGAGTCTCCACCGAGCGCCAAACCGAATATGCCTTTTAGAATACACTCCCTTTGGGTATTTTTGTAGAATTGGATAGATTCTAGCGTAGAACGGGCTCTGCGAACTTTTCCTAGTCAAGATTTTGGAATCACTGAGAGCGATTTGATAGATTTTGACTGGAGTTTGACTGGTTCTTGTGCAGGTAATTCCCTAGTTGACCATTCGGGACTCATGTCAACTCTGAGACGTGCGCTGAGCAACAAAATCGACAAAAATAGTCGTTTCCTGGTCTGTCCCAGACTGCGGCTTATCACCGGGCCCACGTGACAGTCTCCTGCCAGTCTGATAAGTGTGGGAAAGATGGTTCAACCCCCTATAACTGGGTGGTTGGCAACCAGGCAGAGCAGGTGGTACCTCTGCAATAGAGAGCAGGGTAGGGACGGCTCGGGGCGACTCGGGACGCCCCGCTGTCACGTTGTGTGGCAGCGGCGTCACAGGACACGAGTAGTCCTAGAGTGTCCTACCCCTGCTGAGGGGAACATGTCCATAGTCAAAGAGTGCTGCCCAGGAGAGGTCCTATCAGTGCCCAAGGCATAGGACAAGGCATAGGCTTAGCCAGTCGAACAAGCCATTTGGGCGGGGCGTGACGTCACGCGGTCACACCCGACGGCTCAGGGGGGTCGAGGGGAGTTGCCCTGCAACAGGGGCTGCGGGCCTGAGACCCCTGGAGCGCTTGAGGAGGGTTGCCAGTCTAAGGGGTGACTCATCTCCTAAACTGGAGGAGTGAGCTGTTAAAGCTCCCGGAGACCGTGGCAACGGTCCGGTGTGATGCTTGACATATGGGCCCGATCGGTCCCATACCCTCCCATCGCCCCATACCAGGGGAACCCGAGTTTGAGGCCAGAAAGCAAGCAGGAAGTGACTAGGACAAGGAGTGAACATAAGAGATAAGAGCCTGGGCTTTCCAGCCCAACCAAGGGCTCAGGTCAATGAGGCAAGCTAGCCTGAAGTGTTGGAAGTTGTCTAGATGCCCCTTTCCTGGGGTATGGTCGCAGCAACCCCGCTCGAGGGGACCAGGCCAGAGTAGGGTTCAAAGAAAGAGACTTCAATGCTAAACCTAAGGTACAGGAGTAATACTCTAGTCTTTTATATACTATAGGTGCTAGGGGCCGATCAGGCCTGCTGAGGGTTGATCAGAATGGAGCAGGGACTGTCTCTGGTCGTCCCTGGTCGCTCCGCTAGGAGCCCAGGGACCATTCCTCTGGAAAGGAGCCATGTCAAAGTCGACACTAAGAAGTGTTTGGCAATGCAACAGTAAGGAGCTCCCTCCTGGGCCCTGTGGTTGCCTGGGGCCGATTGGGCCCACTGTCAAGGGGCGTAAGGCAGCGCATCATGATCCCTGATGGTGGGTCATGATGGCTTGATGGCTGACTAAAGCGCGATCCGTGATTATGTCCCTTCTCTGGGAGATTAGTGTTGTAGCTCAGTGCCTTGAGCTTGTGAATTATGAGGGCTTGTCAAGCCCTAGGGCTCTAAGGGTGGTGATGGCCCGATGGGCCATATAGGGCCCAATGGCCCGACCCTAACCGTGACATGCTTAAAGACAGAAATTGTTAATAGACATGGTTAACATGAACTCAGAGAAGAAACAGTAGAACTCTGACTCTTAGGTCTCTTTTGCAGAAAAACCTTACTTTTTCAGGCCTCAGTGTTTGCCAGATCTTGACTTTTTACCTGCAACAAGTGGTATCTGTCATTTTAATAAGCCACCACACTTGCAGGCTTGTGAGTTTTGGATAGAACTGGGGGGTTCTTGTCACGGATAAGACCCGGCCCGTCTGCTCCAGCGCTGGTATCGGGCCATCGCGGGCCCATAACATGCAGCATGTGACAATGGGGAACATGCGCCCCAGTAGGAGGAACGCACACGTGGGAAGCACATGACCGAGAACGATGTGTCGAGCCATTGCTGAGCCCAACTCGATACCAGGGGACTGGGGAGGAGTGCTAGGAGGTTAGGAGTAGCACCTGGCCCACAAGGAATGTATGATTGTCCCCTCTGCTGTCCCCTCTGCGGCCAGGAACGGGGGCGAGGGAGGAGCAGGAGAGGCCAGGGTGTCCGATCACCCCTTTGCGGGCCCGTGTATATAATGTGTGATAGCGTACCATGTACTGGAAACCTGGTGGCCCAACCAGGAAACACTGAGGAAAACCAAGCAATACAACAGAACCTTGCTGTATTTGAGAACTATGACAGGGTACAGGGATGAGTGACTAAAGAACATGTGATCTATAGGTGAGTATGTAAGCCAGGCTTACACCCTCCCCCAATTTAAAACACCAGACTATGCAGTAACAAAGGGATGAAGTACCATGAAGTGCAACGAACGGCGGACACAACCAAGACAGCAAACAGGACACCAGGCCAGCCAGGCACGGAGCCCACGAGGACCAGATGCCAGGGAGCTTATCCCAATCGGGCGGGCGGAAGCGAAGCTGGGGTGGGCGAGAATGAAGAACGCGATTAAACGGGGAGTAAGGTAGTTCCAATGGCAAAATACAACAGTAAGCGTCAGTCTTCACGTGTCGAGAGATCGTCCGAAGAGTCCGAGTCGAAAACGTTGTCGTGCGGAAACGAAGGCATCACAGCAGCAACACGACGTGCAGGGAATGTGGTAACACCCGGCGAATAGTAGTCAGCCTCGCTATCGGAAGAGTCGGGATTGTTCGCTCGACCCATAATAGCAGCCACACGACGGACCATTGCTCGGGGCGGGATACCTGCTGCAGGGTCGCCCAAACAATCATGTTGACGATGTTGGACCCATCCAGGGTCACCTGGTTTACGGCGGCAGTTATAACAACCACCTGCATCGCGCAGCGCATTCCGTTCGGCAGTCGTGAGGGGGGCAATAGCAGGGAGAAGGGCCGGGGGGTTTGTTGCAGCAGTGGCGGTGGATGACAGAGGAGGGTTAGATGGCAAGGCAACCGAGGTCGGGGTAGCCTGGCGTGTTTTGATTACACCTTCGCCGACAAGACAGTCCCAGGTGCCCTCCAACAGTGTCAGACTGCGGGTCGGGCCGTGCAAGGACTTCTCCTAAGAACGCGCGCCCGGAACAGAACAGACGAATAGTCGGGCCCGCAAGTATGGCGGGCGGGGTAGATTGAAACCGAAAGGGCCCGTGAACTCGGTCCCTTGCCGTAGTCGGTGGTCGAAGGTTCGAATCGGGTCGTGTCGGGCCCGAGAGCCGTAGTGGTAATATATAGCCTAAAACCAGTAGGTGTAGCTAGGAGAACGCTTGCCTAGGAGGGTAGCTGTACCTAGGTAGCCTTTTACATGCCTCCATTAGAGCCAAATGTGACGATTTGTAACGTGTGACATATGTGTGACATATGTGACACATGTGACATTCTTGTGAAAAAATACATTATTATTCTTTATCTAGTATCCTATAGGTTGTGACAATGCCCCTATCTGAGTAATGTTTTTAATGTGGAACCATTTTTGATAGCCATCAGTACTTTTGATGGCTATATCATAGTACATCAATTTTGTCCTAATTAGGATTGTTATTGATTCAGGCCTTCCTAACTATAATCCGGGTCATCGGCCTGAAGAAAAGGAGTTAAAAGTATTATATATATATTATTATCAAATTATATGTATCCTATACCCATTTATCACATCATTGATGCTATTTAGTTATCTGCCTATTAGATAGAAAAGGGCTTAGAGAGCTATGTACAGATAGCCCTAGGTACAGCTACCCTTCCCGGCAACCATTTTCCTACCTGTACCTAGGGCTGAAGGCTAAATCTTACAGCTACGGGTGGGCCCGATGAGTCGATAGCGTCTCCTCGCACGGAGTAAGGTAGTTCTTCAGACGATCTAAGCGATAGAGTACAGGGTACACTATCGCGCATTATATACGCGGGCCCGCAAAGGGGGTGATCGGACACCCTGGCCTCTCCTCCTCCTCCTCGCTCCCGTTCCTGGCCGCAGAGGGGACGATCGCACATCCCTTGCGGGCCAGGCGCTACTCCTGACCTCCTAGCACTCCTCCCCATTCCCCTGGTGTCGAAGTTGGGCTCGGCGACGGCTCGACGTCGTTCTCGGTCACGTGCTTCCCACGTGTGCGTTCCTCCTACTGGGGCGCATGTTCCCCGTCGTCACGTGCTGCGTGTTGCGGGCCCGCAATGGCCCGACACCAGCGCCCGGAGCGGACGGGCCGGGTCTTATCCGTGACATCACCCCCCCCCTAGGAACGACTCGTCTCGAGTCGGCGTGGCTCGGTCGCCCGGTTTCTCGGGTTTAATTTTGACTCTAGCTCGTCCTTCCAATCGCAAATTCCATCCAGCCCATAAGCTTAAGCTAAGCTTCGGCTGCGCATTTTAATCTCCCTGGCTTCTGACGCCTCGTGGCGTCCGCAGATCGATTCTTCCTGTCCATCAAGTGTTTCATCGCGGTCACGTGCGGTATAGCGTAGGTCCTTTTCAATTCAGTTGCGCGTCCTTTGTTCGTATTGCTTGCGAGTAGGCTGTGCTGCGCGCCTCGGTCGAGTTCGATATAGAACGCGTTCGTTCCCCCATATAAGCCGGAGCTTCCCCTTCTAATCCTCTTTATGTCGTCCCCCAACTTGTACCGCTCCGGCCCTCTCAGTTCTCAGATGGTTCCCCCATCCTCAGAGCCGGGTCGTCTGTTCGTCCGTTTCGCCTCTATGTCCCTCGTCGAAGTTTCCTGCTTCCTGGCCCATCGCGCAAGGGCGAGACCCGTCGTACCGGGAGTCGTTCGAGCCCCTGCGCCTGTTGGAGGACTTGCCCCCGTCTCAAGCCGTCGACTATTCCTCCAAGCTACTCCCTCTGCTGGCCCCCGTAGTCCGTTCACATCGAGCTCCCGCTCTCCCAGTTCCCCCCAGCGCCCCCGGCCGTCGTCTTCCCGCCGAATCCTGTGGCAGTGCGACCGACCGCCTAATGAAGGCCGGTTTGTGGCAGCCGCTGGTCTTCGGGCCCCATCACCTCTATTTCGGTGTTCTGTTCGATGCGTTCCCCTCCTCCTTCGTCTGGCGTCGCGAGGACGGCTCTCTTCAGGATGTTCGCCCTTTGTTTGGACAGCTGGGCCGTGGCCTCCTTGCGCACCTCCTCGCTGCCGACGCTGCTTCGCCCAGTGATTCGTTTTTTCCCCGTCTGTGGCGTTGGGTGGTATGTCTCCCTCTCTGTGCGCTTTCGGCCGCGTGCTGACTGGCTCCGTTCAGCGCCTCATCCTTCACGCCTTGTCTTGCGCCGCTTCTGTCGGTCTCCCTTCCTTCGTCTCAGATCGATTCCTCGTCCTAGCCCACGTGGCCGCTTTTCGCGTGTTTCCCCAGTACATATAGCTGCATCTATGCAAAAGATGTGGGTACCATCCCAAGGGGGTAATGCAAAAGATGTTGTGACAGATGTATTTCATGAATTTCTCACTGGAATCAAGAGATATGACTAATATAAAAATACATATAGGAAGATAAATCACCTTTTCTTTGGGCCGAATATTCGTAATATTATATTTGGGACTTATAAGCCCAGGGACCAAAAAATTAATAATCGATTAAGTAAGGTTGATGTAGCAAGATGCAGTCATCAAAAGCTCTGATGGCAATCAAAAATCGTTCCACATTGATCAACATACCTAGCTGCCATTGATCCCATCACTGATACCTTGATATAGCAGCCACAAACAAGAAAACAGTGTTATTTAATTTAATTTCCAAGCAGTTGCCCTCATCTTTTGCATTACCCCCCTAGGATGCTACCCACATCTTTTGCATAGATGCAGCCATATGAGCTGGTTTCCCGAAGAGAACGTAGCTCGGCCCGATACGCTGGCCCGACTACTGGGTCCTCTCCCTCCATCTCTCGTGCCGCCGTTCCTTCATGCCGACCGGTGGTCGTCCCTTCATCCGGGTGGTTTCTTTGCCCGATCCTCGGGAGGAGTTTGCCTTCTCGGGCGGCCCCTCGTTGGATGAGGCGGAAGCGGGTGTTTCGTTCAGCTTTCTCCCGTTGGCGGCCTGGTTGGATGATCAATTCCCGAGCACCGAGAGTGATCCGGAGGATTCCGAGTCGACGGCCCCGGTTATGAAACGTTTCCCCTACTCCGGTGGTTCGGGCGCGGTCTTCGTCTTCGATGGAGGTCGACGTGGAACGGGATGGTGCCCCGCCGGTTTCGACCCTACTTTTCCTACCTTCCGACTCGGGTTCGGATTCGGATGTGGAGGTGATCGCCGGCCCTCGTCGTTTGTCTTTGGTGGGGATCGACGCCTCTGAACACGAGTCGGCTACGGATGCCCTCGACCCTTCCTTCTCCCCGGCCGTGTCGCCTGCCCCGTTGCAACAGGATTTCGGCACCCCCTTGGCCCCTCGTCTTGAATCCACTGGACAGCTGGCGCTTTTTCGAGGGGAGCCCCTCGTCAACCGGGAACAGTGATCCGATCCCTTTCCCCTCGCTGTGAGTATTGCATCGCCCACGATCGTTTGTGCACCGTGTGGGGGCGTCCCAGATAGTTCTCCCCAGAAACTCCCTGGTCCCGTGCGTCGGGCTTGTGACGCGTGCAGCCCGCTCCATCGTGCTTGTCTGCGTTGGCGGTCTTTTGCAGATGCGTACAAGGCTCGCTCCGCGGCTCTGCACGATTTTTCCTTCGAGTTTTGGGAGCGTCAGGTCGAGGATGGCGAGTTTGCGCTGCTACGTCCCGATCCCCGCTTCGCTGATCTAGTCGGGCTGTCCGCTTCGGTCCCGTACCGGTCCTTCTTGTTCTCCTATTTGCCCCGATCAAACGAGGATCGGTTCGGGCGGAGCCCGACCCCGACGGTCGGGCCTTCTTCGGGCCGTCGTCGCCGCCCGGTCGTCCTTTCGTCAGCGTCTTCTCGGGACTCCTCCCCGTCCCCCGTGCGAAAACGAGTTCGCACCCGCTCGCCGTCTCCCCCACCATCGTCAAGTCGGCCCCCGCCGAGGCCCCGCCCCACTTTCCGCCGGCCGGCCTCCCCTGTCGCGGATCGCTCATTAGGAGAGGCATCGTCCCGGTCATCCGTTCCTGCCGGTGAGACCCACCCTCTTTCTTATCCCACCATGGGTTTCCAGGTGCCTTCGTTCCCTCGAGTCTCCCTGTGGTTCGGGAGGGGATGGGACTTGGATCGGGCCATTGCCGAGTCTCGCCGGTTGCATGGGGACCCGTCGGTACCCGCCGATCAGCGCTTGTCTCCGTTGGGCGTGCTGTTGCTGCAACAGTCGGCGGTTCATTCGGCCGACGGGGGCTTCCCGGATGCTCGGACCCGCGCACTCGCGGAGTTGTCGTCGATGCGTTCCCTGGACGCAGACCTCCGGTTGGTAAACTCGCTGGAGTCCCTGACCGCCTCGCGGGACGTCGCCCGGCGTGTGCCGCTATCTGGGCGCCATTCTTCTGGCTATCCACCGGTCCGAAGGAGAGGTCGGGATTCTGGGAAACGCCGGAGGGTTTAGAGCGTCGGGCCGCTGAACGAGAGGTATATGCGAATGTGTGCCGTCAGGACGGCCTGAGCTTCGGCATGATGGACCTGGATTAGGCTTCGGCGGGTCGTTGGTCGTCTTTCGGCGACCTCGGCCGGAGTTCCCCGTCTACTCGGGTCTCGGCGTTCGGGTATCCTCATCCTCTCGTCTGCTGTCGTCGTTCGCGCCCCTGTCAAATCGGCCTTCTCTCGTAGGGCGCCCCGTGGTGGTTCGGACCGTATCGTGTTTTTTTTTTTTTTTTTGTCTATGTATTTGACTTTTTGTATTCCTTTTCGCGGTCTTGCAATCGATCGATTCATCTTGCGCTCGTTCGTTGTTGTGATGGAGGAAGAAAGAGATTTATTACTGGGGACAGAGGCCCCGCCACAGATTAAGTAGAGCAGATTACGAAAGAGATAAGAGCGGCCCCCAGGGCTCTCGTGCGGAGGGAGGTGTGCCCCATTTCATCAGGCAGAGTGTGCCGGTGGCGCGGGGCGGTCCGAGACGATCGGACCGGGGGTTCGGCCGCACGGGGGAGGGGCGGTGAGTTGTTGAGGCGTCGGCGCTGCGGGCGGGCCCGGCGCCATGGGCCGGGCAAGCGTGTTCCATGTGCCGATGGTGCTCGTCCAGGGAGACCCGCCTAGGGGTACCCCACTTCAGGGCGGGCTCCTTTCTCCCGTAGAGGACGCGGTTAAAGACCACGGGTTGGGCTTCGAGAGTGCGCCCGTATAGGTAGGCAAGGGAGGCGATGACGATAGCCACGATCGTAGCCCACGCCGGGAGTGCGATAACGGTGGTAGCGTCCATTCTGTTGCGGGTGTAGGGGGATCGCTTAGATTCTGTCAGACTGCGGGTCGGGCCGTGCAAGGACTTCTCCTAAGAACGCGCGCCCGGAACAGAACAGACGAATAGTCGGGCCCGCAAGTATGGCGGGCGGGGTAGATTGAAACCGAAAGGGCCCGTGAACTCGGTCCCTTGCCGTAGTCGGTGGTCGAAGGTTCGAATCGGGTCGTGTCGGGCCCGATGAGTCGATAGCGTCTCCTCGCACGGAGTAAGGTAGTTCTTCAGACGATCTAAGCGATAGAGTACAGGGTACACTATCGCGCATTATATACGCGGGCCCGCAAAGGGGGTGATCGGACACCCTGGCCTCTCCTCCTCCTCCTCGCTCCCGTTCCTGGCCGCAGAGGGGACGATCGCACATCCCTTGCGGGCCAGGCGCTACTCCTGACCTCCTAGCACTCCTCCCCATTCCCCTGGTGTCGAGTTGGGCTCGGCGACGGCTCGACGCGTCGTTCTCGGTCACGTGCTTCCCACGTGTGCGTTCCTCCTACTGGGGCGCATGTTCCCCGTCGTCACGTGCTGCGTGTTGCGGGCCCGCAATGGCCCGACACCAGCGCCGGAGCGGACGGGCCGGGTCTTATCCGTGACAAACAGCGTAACGGCACCCTCAATCTTCAGCGAGCTCAGGCGAAAGCCAGGGGTGTTGAGAATGCGGCGACGGAGAATCGGGTGCGCGTAAAACAGCAAATGGTGGATGATAATGTTGTCCGCCAACTTAAAGTCGTCGCCTGCAGCGTTCAAGAGTCCACGGCCTCTTTCAATCGATTTGACCCATTGCTTTGCGTCCAATGTGCCCTGGCGCAAATCGTAGAACTCCGCGAGTGCCTCAAGACGCCAAGTCGAGCGGACGAACTTGTCACGCAATTTGATCGCAAAGTCATCGAACGACGATAGCTTCTTCAGCTCGTCTCGATTCTCCTCCCACCAGTTGGAAACGGCGCGTTGTTCGAGCTTCAAGCCTGCCAGAGTGATAAAGTTGCGGGTGGCGAGGCCATGCGTGGGGTTGACAGCTTCAAAGGACTCGATGGTGTCCTCGCAGCGCCCAATCCAGCTGCGGACCGAGAGTGGGGTAGGGTCATCCGTGAACGCAGGAAAAGAGATGAGCTTGGTCATTTTCGCTCGTGGATTTCGTGGGGCACTCAATGGGGCGTGCGGTGAGGGCAGTGGGTTGAGGTGGAAGTGCAAGGAAGGCGGAGGAGGAGTTGGCAAGCTGTGGAGCGAGACAGGAGAGGTGGAGCCGCAGGGGGACAGCGAGGCCGCGAGAGACGCGTCGTCGTCAGTCGGCAGTGGAGACGCGGGCTCAGTGGACCCGGAGGACAAGGCTGGGGGCGATAGACGCGTACGAGAGGCGATTTGGAGGTGTGGTGGTTGTTCGCGAGCCGGGGAGGAGCTTGGTCGTGGCCCAGGGCGGCTAGCAGCCGACGAGACCGGCTTTCTTCGCTCGCGGGACGTGGCTGCCAGCGGGGCCGTGTGCGGGGACGCGAACGGGGACGCTGGGGCTCCCAGCGAGGACTTTGGCAAGCTCGGCGAGGTGGTGGGAGAGGAGGAAAACGAGTGGCGCCATGTCACTAGCGGCGTTCCCACGTCGAACGCCTCGGTGGGTTCTTCGGTGATGTCGGCGACCGCGGGCTCGGCCGAACGGACCCTTCGGCGACGCGGAGTTGTGAGCTCGGGAAGTAGCGCGCCGGCGCTTGTATGGCGAGTTAAGCGCGGAGTTGTTGGTGCTGATGCCATGAAGGAGGGGAAAAAAGAGGACTAGAGCTAGTGTGTTGTAAAAAAAGTGGAAACCTGGTGGCCCAACCAGGAAACACTGAGGAAAACCAAGCAATACAACAGAACCTTGCTGTATTTGAGAACTATAACAGGGTACAGGGACGTCAGTCGGCAGTGGAGACGCGGGCTCAGTGGACCCGGAGGACAAGGCTGGGGGCGATAGACGCGTACGAGAGGCGATTTGGAGGTGTGGTGGTTGTTCGCGAGCCGGGGAGGAGCTTGGTCGTGGCCCAGGGGCGGCTAGCAGCCCGACGAGACCGGCTTTCTTCGCTCGCGGGACGTGGCTGCCAGCGGGGCCGTGTGCGGGGACGCGAACGGGGACGCTGGGGCTCCCAGCGAGGACTTTGGCAAGCTCGGCGAGGTGGTGGGAGAGGAGGAAAACGAGTGGCGCCATGTCACTAGCGGCGTTCCCACGTCGAACGCCTCGGTGGGTTCTTCGGTGATGTCGGCGACCGCGGGCTCGGCCGAACGGACCCTTCGGCGACGCGGAGTTGTGAGCTCGGGAAGTAGCGCGCCGGCGCTTGTATGGCGAAGTTAAGCGCGGAGTTGTTGGTGCTGATGCCATGAAGGAGGGGAAAAAAGAGGACTAGAGCTAGTGTGTTGTAAAAAAAGTGGAAACCTGGTGGCCCAACCAGGAAACACTGAGGAAAACCAAGCAATACAACAGAACCTTGCTGTATTTGAGAACTATAACAGGGTACAGGGATGAGTGACTAAAGAACATGTGATCTATAGGTGAGTATGTAAGCCAGGCTTACATGTACTCTATCACTTAGATCGTCTAAAGAACTATCTTTCTCTGTGCAAGGTGTTAAAGATCCGTTGCCAAGAGCCTACCAGCGATCACGCAGGACGCTGTAGAAGGGGTACAACTGGTGGAGAATCCGTTCTCCACCAGGCCTTTATATACTGTCCATACATACATATCATATGACATAACCGCCATGTGCGCTCGCTCGTCACATGCGCATCTCCATGCGCTAACACAAGGAGGTGCCAACGACTCATCAGGCCCGACACGACCCGATTTGAATCTTCGACCACCGACAGCGACAAGGGACCGAGTTAACGGGCCCTTTCGGTTTCGATCTACCCTGCTCGCCATACTCGCGGGCCCGACGATTCGTCTGTTCTGTTCCAGGCGCGTGTTCTTAGGAGAAGTCCTTGCACGGCCCGACCCGCAGTCTGACAGTTCTTGGCTATTAGTAGCCCCCTGGGGTGTCCAAAGGTACTTTTTGCCTGAACTCAGAGTGGACTCTCCTCAAATATTGGAGTTGATGGACTGCATCAAGATCATCATGATCAATCTATAGCATCATTGTGTAAATTCCCTCTTAATTAACCTCGAGAGCGGTGGATTATATTAAAGAACATGATTTATACTAGTATCCTGTCCCAAAAGTTGTCTCAAACACCCTCCAAGGACTACAGAAACATCCCAGAAAATATGTTGCCATCGGGACTCGAACGCGTAAGACGCCGCTCAGAGAAATTTACACTTTAGGATTGCTCATTTTGCATGTATAAACAGTAGGAATACAATACAGAAATCTATTCAAATCCCTCTCTTTTCTTTTCCTCCCTCCTTCCTTTTTGGGAATTTTTATTTTTCTTCTTTCGGCTGCCCACAACACCAGTATTTTGCCAAATAAGCGGACTAAAAGTACGACACTTAGACTTTTCTACTAAAACTGCGACTATCATATGGTAGCACTAGGTTCCACAGATGCGGCGTAGATGATAACCAAATGGACCGGGGCCCTCATCTTCCGAACTTGAAAAAGACGTGTCTGAGTCCGAGTCGTCCTCGTCCTCGTCCTCGTCATCTAGTCCCAATTCCAGCAATGCCATTGCAAGCTGTTCATCTTCTGCTTCATCCTCGATGTCTGGAGAGGGGGCTTCATCCTCTGTCTCATCACAATCGGGACAGTTGTCGTGAATGCCGCCGGCACGGAGGGAGGGCTGAGCAGAGAACGGGACATCCCGGGGGAGGCTACTAGCAGCGACTCGGAGCTTGAGCGACAAGTCGGACCATTCGGCACTTGCTAAGTGCATCAGCAGATCGACTCGCCCGACTAGCGCAGCAGATTGAGTTGGCAGATGTAAGTGCGAAAGCGAGACTTACAATCAATGTAATGTTTGACCCCGCGTCGAACCTCTACGGTCATTCCAGTGATATCCTCTCCGCGGAATGCTGAGCCTGTTAACCCTCCCCCCTCCCGAGACGTGAAGGTAAACAGCTGCGTCGGCGAACGCCTCACGCTTCGCCGCCCCCCGTTTCACGATACGTCCTTGTACATTGTCAGAGATTTGCCTGTCCAAGCAGGACTCATTGTGAAACAGGGACCGCATGACCTGAGCAAGCTCGTGGAGCAAAACCCGGAGAATGAAGAAGCAGAGCATCCTTTACAAAATTATGGCCTGGAACAAGCGGAAGTACCAGTAGGACTCACAAGCACTGGGCCCTGGCGGATGGGTGGGTCGAATGATGAAGAAGGCGGAATTGGTGGTAGAGATTATAGGAAACCTTTATAGAAATCATCGCACGTCGTTCTGTTGCCGGGCGCGCCAAGAATGGGATGCCGTCGACGCATGGTCGCTCAACAGAGGCAAACGCCGTTGTCAACTCGACGATTTGAATCAGAGGGGGAGACTGGCCCAGCACTTGCGTGATCTGACGGACCCTGGTGTTCAGCGAGCGAGGATTCGGACGGCGGTTGTGCTTCAGGGTAAAGTGGGCGAGACACTGGAGACCAGGTGCATCGACCAACAGACAGTAGCGCAGATTGTTCAACATCTGGAAAAGAAATGGGTCGCTATCCTTGCTGAGGATGTCATAGCAGCTTGAGCCCGGCCTCATTACGCGGACTTTCCATGGCTGAAGTGGGTCGGACATGGAGAGAAGGTGGTGATTTCAGGGGTATGTCACCCAGTCACGTCCGAGTCAGCGAGAGGGCGAGGATTATTTTTTTGACTGGTAAATCAAGTACAACCTCACAAGTCCCAGTTGTTAGACGACGGGTTTTATTCGTAACGGCAATTGGAATCCTCTTTCGGGCTGGCTCCGAACTATCGGCCGTTCCACAATCGCCGTCGCTTTCTTCCCAATGTCCGTTCCAGGCACCGCTAACTCGAACTCGAACGCGCGTACGAGTGTAAACAGAATTGCCTTCATCCTATTTATTACGTCAGTCACGTGATTCATAGCCTGAGTGGATACCTAACTCGTCCAGTGCAAATCGGTACCCAATACAGCTCCGAGGCCCTCCAAGAAAAGTGAGGGTGTGTCCCCAAATGCCAGGAATTGTGCTGGCACCACTGGGTGGATTGTCCCAGCGTCGCGGTCTGGAGAAGTGAGCCAAAATGACAAACTTGAAGCCAGGGAACGAGCGCACGAGAACTCCATTCCATCGTCACCCCAGACAATTTGCATTCGATTCACGGTGAGAATGGGAATCATGATAGTTTGGCCCTTGGTAATTCTAGACAAATCAGATCCGTCATTCAGCAAAAGGTCAGGACAAACCGAATGCTATCACGCAAGACACCCGCGCTATCTGTGAACGGGGTCGCGAGTGGAGCAACATCGTCACTTAAGGCGACCCGGGCTGCGATAGAGTAAGTCATGCGAGTGTGGATCAGCATGAACACTTACAAGTCGACGGCACAGGTGCATGGAGTCTCAGTGTCTCCCGAACAACACCATCCAAAAGTGATAACGCGTTGAGGGTTTCTGAGCTGGGATTTTCAGACCGAACCGAAAGCAGTTCTTCCCGGAGTCCATTTTGTATGTCCGGATGTTGCGTGAGTTCAAAAAGAGCCCACGTTATCGCAGTGCTCGTTGTTTCGTGCCCAGCAACTAAAAAAGTAGGAACCTCTGCACGTTATGAGTCGCTACTCCAGTTGATGATGAAAAATGCCTACGGGCAATCACGTCCTCGTCGGTCAATCGCTGAGAGTGAGGCACTTCTTTCGCCGCGTTGGCATGGACCAGCAAAGAAAGTAAGTCTTTGGCGTCACGAACATCTGATTCACTATCTCGTTTGCTCTCTTCCAGCAGTTTTCGTCCAACGCGAGCCATTGTGAGCTGTGCGCTGGCGACATTACGGTCGGTTCTTGTCGGCTTGCATCAATATACTAAATCAGTATACTGCCAGCTAGATTGGATAGCACCCACAATCCATTGCAGAATCGGAATAAAAGCTGGAAAAGCTTCCAGAGGTTGAAACCCGTCTCCGCAGCGAAGATGGTTTCGAATGCCGTCGCCAACTCATTTTCAGAATGGTTGTCCACGCGGAGTGAATCGATTGGATAATTGAAGCCTGGGTTTCATCATTGCAGGCAAAACGACATAATTATACGAGATTTCATACCAGCCAGACCAATGATATCCAGCGTCGTTTTACTAAGCCACGAGAGGGCATCAACCGTCAGGGTTGTGGATTCAGCGGCCCGCTCGAGCCAGATGTCCCGTAGCTATGATTGTTCGAGTTCAATGAGTGACATATCTATGACATACGACGAAACCAACCTGGTCACCTTTCTCCAAGAATATCGGTGTTAATTCACGGATATGCACTTGCCCGAAGGCTGGATTCTGCGCAGATAAGTGTGAGAAATGGCTTCTATGGACAGGCCCACCATAATCTTCCGCTGAATACTCGGTCAGAACAAGAACAAACGCAGCGAAAAGACCCACTTGTTGTTTGTGCTGACTCCCCTCCACGACAAGCACGCCTGGCCCGACCACCGCTGTCAAGCTCCTCCGGACCGTTTCCGACTTTTGGTATATGTCGGTATGAGCGAGAATATGTTGAATGAACTTGGTATCAACGCTATAGAGTTGCGGCTCTCCCTAAAGCATGGCTCAGTCTTCAACGTCGGGCATATGAAAGAGACGTACCACCAGGCCATGCCATTTGAAGGTTGGCCCATATATTCCCACCCACCGCTCGAAAAGGCCATTTTCACCCTGAAAATGAAGTGAGTAAAGGACCTTTCAAGTACCAAAGTAAATACTCGCATCTTTCACAAGCTCCGCAACGTTCCCGGACAACCAGTTTCGTCGCGGAGGCCCAGGAAGGGTGTGAAGCGGCGAACGGGATCCATATAATGCTTTCAAGATGATCTTGAAGACTGCGTAGGCAGTTGGAGCTCCCAAGAGAGTTACGAGGAGCTTCGAGGGCATTGCTGAAAAAAATTGAAGTGGGTGTGTTCGTTGGGACGCTGTTTTTTATTTGCCGCAACAGGTCGTATCAATTCGGAAATCCATTGGCTATGCCGACCCCGCGTATACCCTGCGTATTGTGTCGGCGAAGTCCAAGCAAATGATCTTTTGAGAAGACAAAGTGACGCTTCACTAAGCTGAAGTGGCAGCTTGTGCAATCTATTATACAAAGAGAGGAAGGGAGGCTGTGCTTACCAAAAAAGGAAGAACCTCACTTAGCTATCCCGATTTGGATAGACAACTTTACCAACCTCAAAGCCCATGTAGACAGTGGTTTTAGCTACAGAAAAGTGTATGTAGATGTTGAATACACCTTAAAGACTCTGTATGCGCCGTTTTTAGCACGAAAAACGACCCAGTTTTGAGCTTTTGAGGCAGGGGTGTAGTCAACCATATCTGCCATGCTCTCTGCTAAGCCACGGGCGGCCACTGAAAGCTGGGGGTTCCCACACTCTGCTATTGGGTAGGCTATACAGTGGGCCTCATATTGCCAGTAACTTCCCTTCTCGCTGGCCCCGCCATCCACCTCCGTTTGCAAGCACTCGGCTTAACTCGGCCCGGTCATACCCGAGGTCATGTGACTCGGACAACCACTTTTCGCGCTACCATCTTAATGTGCGTAAACTTCTCCGTTCAGTTTATGAAAAACTTATTCTTGCTGGCTGTTGCTTAGGACACGAGCTCAACGAGTATTATGGGGCCCAGGGGCGGGCTATCCACTCACCAGCACCAACCTAAATGGATCAAACTCTCAATGGGTGCCAACGGGGACGTTGACAGGCAGCACGGGCCTCTCGATGTAAGCACCTCTTCTTTACTACACAGTATCTAACGTCTCTTCAGTCTCACAGGAAGAACTTCACTGGCTCAAACTAAATATATACAAAAATATCTCAATAAGGCTCACAAACAGAACCAAAAGAAGTAGGATTCAGACAAAATGTAGAAGACTGAGAGTCTGGGCCGCGCGCCGCCGAGCCCCGCGAGGCGGCAGTGCGGCCCTTACAATCTTTTCATACAAAGAAATTTTTAATATAAGAGTACACCCAATTTATTTAAGTTCCCGTTGCGTAGCACGGGCAACCCCTAGTGAAAACCAAAAGAGTGAGAGTTTCCATCACAGTGTCACAGTGAGTCACGGACACAACACCAGTTGGATGCATGTTGAAAGAAGCAATAAATTTAACTTTCAGCGAGTTGTATTGTCTACTGAGTATCTAGGCTAGGAAGCACGCACTGTCGTGCAAAGTAGTCATGAAACCGATCGTCTTTTGTCAGCTCAGGATGGAAAGTCGTCAGCAGATGTCGGCCTTCCCGGAGAGCAACGATAGTTCGTGGGTCATTCTCGTCGTCCACCGGCTCTGGCAATAAGTTGGGTGGTAGTCGTGCAATGACTTGAATTACAGCATTTGAATCTAGCCCGATGACAACCTGCAAAACAATCAGCTCTCATACTTCGGTGAGTTTCTCGATTCGCGAGAAACTCACCGAAGCACGAATGAAGATGCCCATATACGGTACTGCGGAGTCAGAGAGGCCATTAACCTCCAGAGCCGCCTCAAATGATTCGACCTGCAAACGCGATAAGTAAAGGAAGGAAAGCACACTATCTCAAAGAGTCTTACCTGCGAACCCCAGCCATTCCTCGCAATGTCAACTGACACGCCTCCGAACAGCTCTACCATAATCTATCTACCATAATCTAGTTGATGCTTACTTGGAGCGTGTTAAAATAAGACATTGGTGCTAGGTTCCACATCTGCGGGTACCACCATATCTCGGGCCCTCCTCTTCTGAGTCAGAAAACGACTCGCTTGAGTCTGAACCTTCGTAATTGTCCTCGTCATGGCCATCTAGTTCCAATTCTTGCATTGGAAGCTGTCCATATGTTGTTGTTTCGTTGCGAGAATATGTCTCGGACTGTAGACCGCAACCATCGATGTCTTCATCCTCTGGATCAGTGTCGTCCTTGTCGTGGTCATCGCAGTCGGGACAGTTGTCGTGAATGCCGCCGGCACGGAGGGAGGGCTGAGCAGCGAACGGGGCATCCCGGGGGAGGCCACCAGTAGCGAGCTTGAGCGACAAGTCGGACCAGTCGGCGCTGGCCAACTGCATCAGCAGGTCTACTTGCCCCACTAGCGCAGGATGACTTAGCAGATGGTGGAACTCGTAGTGCGAAACTCACGGTCGATGTAGTGTTTAACCCCACGGCGAATCTCCACAGTCATTCCACTGATGTCTTCTCCACGAAATGCTGAGCCTGATAATCCTCCTGAGACGTGAAGGTAGACAGCTGCGCCGGTTAACGCGTCGTCCGAGTCAGGTTGCGCCTCCCCTGCTGGGTGGGCGCCGGGGATGTGTTTGTTACGTTTACACTGGAAGAGGGACCGCATGGCATGAGCAAGCTCGTGGAACAAAATTCGCAGAATGAAGAAAGATAGCATGCTTTACAAAAACATAAATGATGGCTTGAAACAAGCGCAAGTAGGACTTACAAGAGCTGGGCCCGGGCGGACGGGTGGGTCGCATTCTCGAGAACACGGAGTTGATCGTACAGGTGATGGGAAACTTTGATTGACGTCAATGCGCACCGTTCTGCTGCGCTGCGCGCGAAAGAAGGGCACGTCGTTTGTGAATGGTCGATCAACAGAGGCAAACACTGTTATCAAATCGGTGAAGTAAATGACAGGGGGATACTGGCGTAGCGCCTTCGTGATCTGACGGGCTCTGGCCTTGACTGCTGAAGGAGAGTCGGTCCGGTTTTTACGCGTGAGCGTTACTCGTGCAAGGGCTTGCAAACCAGGTTCATCTTGAAACAGCCATTCACGTAGATAAGTTAGCAGTCTGGTCTTCTTAGCCAAGGGGAAAGGAAGGAGGGAGACGAGCCCCTGCGGGGCCCGCCTCCGCCTGCGGTCTAGCGCTCACATAAGTGTGCGCTAGTGGGGGGAAGAGTCGGGGGCCCGGGAGGCGGCGCGGACCCGACGCGGAGGGACCGGGCCGGCCCCGGCGACAGGGCGCGAACGGACACAGAGTGCCTGAGAGTTCGCCGGCCTCGAGGGGAAACCCCGGGCCTGACCCGCCGACTCTGAGCGTGAGAAGAAAAGGGAGCCTGCGGGCTGCCCAGATCTCGCAATCTGGAGCACAGCTCACCCAGGATGGGCAGCGCCGCAGGCTCGGGCCAGCAACCCACCAAAGGAGCTGGGCGACAGAGGAGATGGAACGCGGGAAAAAACAGGAGAGGAGGAAAGGGCACGGGCAAGCTGGGCAAGAGGGGTTACTTCACGGTAGGGGAACAAACGGTAGCTAGAGGTCTTCTTCGTGTACAAATTTGATGTTATTGTCGATACGGAAACGTTCAAAGGCTGCGGCGACTTCCTCGATTTTTTTCTTGTCGTACGCTTTGCCGATGGCCATTGCGATAATGTGTTCGAGCTTGCGCCAGTAGAGTAGGAAGGCGAGGGAAGACCAGCCGCCCGTGGCCGCCACGACTTCGCATGGAACACCTGCCAGAAGTAGCTCGGTGGACCCGCCGATGCGGAAGCTGTGGCCCGCGACCGCGAGGAGGTCGCAGCTTTTCCAGATTTCGGTGCAGCGTGTGAGGAACCAATCCTTGGTCATGGGGAGCCAGCTTCCGCCGGGTTGGGAGAAAGCGAAGAGGGGGGCGTCTGCCGGGATGTTCGCGTTGACGGTGAGATGGTTGCGCAATGCCACAGCTGGGCAGAGTTCGTCGTCGCGGTCTGTGAGGATGACGGTGCCACCGCGTTCCTGCGTGGACTTGGTCCAGGGGATGTGGAAAGAGGACGCGAAGGAGTTGGCTTGTTTGCTGCGCTTGATCTCGGCGCTGCGGGCAATATGGAAGAGCGGGTCAAAACCTTGGGTGGTCGGGATGGTGAGTTCTCCCAAGCGACGGCAGCCCCAGAAAGCTGCGCAGGCGAGAGCCCAGACCGCTGCGTCGAAGGGAACCTTGAGCGAGAGTTTCGAATACAAGGCGATGAGGTGCTGGACGGTGACCGGGCCGCGCTGGGCCTTCTTGAAAGCTGTACCCTGCTTGTTAGCAGTGCGGCGGGCCAGCTTCACAACACGAATATCGCCGTGCCACGGTGCTTGGTGGATGTCGTGCCAGGCACGCAGGCCCGAGAGCCATGATTTGACGGTGTCGCCGCCAACCGTTCCCGTGTGATGTGCGATGAAAGCGGAGAGGAGGGTGGCGGAAGCGGGCATGCGGTCTTCCTCTGGCAGCTTGCGGTCGTCACAAAATTGGTGGAAACGTAGGAGGCCCGCGGCGTATGTCGATTGGGTGTCTGGAGCAAAGGAGGCAAAAAGAATCGCGTACATGCGGTTGACGTCGTCCTCGGGAAGGGAGTTACGCAACTCTGTCTCTTTGTCGCGCGAGGAAGGGGGAGGACCACGTGCGCAATCGGTCTTTGGCCAGGGCTGGTGGTCTGAAAGGGCTTGGGGCGATGTCGTTGCCGCGTTTGGCCTTGCGGGGCTTTGCGGGAAGGGTTGGGAAGGGGGGAAGGGGGGGACGGGGTGGTGCAGGGCTTGGGGTTGGTTTGCCGCGTCTCTCGGGCGGGGTGGCGGATGGGAGGAAACGCGAAAAAGGCTTGACCACCGCGGCTTTTCGGAGGCTGCCGGCGACGCTGGGGGCCGGGGCCGCAGCCAGGGCCGGGGTCGGAGGCGCGAAACCCAAGCGGGGCGGCATTGGGACTGGCGGGGGCAGGTAGGCGGACAGATCTGGGCGGCGGGGGGGTGGCGGCGTCATGAGAAATGCACGCGGTCACGTGTGAGACATGTGATTTACATTGCTACGAAAAAGGACTTAATGTCCGCGGGGAGACAAAAGGAGAACGGGAGGTGGGTGTCTAAGCCCGGGAGGATGCCCCGTGAGAGGGGGTCCGCCGGGTTGTCTGCGGAAGGTATATATACGAGGTCTAATGAAATGTTGCATGCTGCCAGGGTAGAGAACGAGCGACGAAGGGAAAGGTTAATATCGGGGTTGCGGCTGCGGCCCTTGTCGAAGGCGCCGATGACGCCCTGGTTGTCCGAGTGCACGAGGAGGAAGGAGTTGTCAACGTTTAAGGAGTCAAGAGCGAGGATGAGGAGCTCGACCGCCACCGTTTCTAGCCAGCCGATGTGGCGCTGGCGGGATTTCCAGTCGCCGGTGCCTTTCCAGGCTGCCCATCTGCCGTCTAGCCAGATGCCGATTCCCCACGCCGTGGATGCATCTACGAAAAGGCGGCAGTCTTGGCGGGGTCCCCGCCGGCGCGATGGAGCGGGAAACGTTCTGCAGGGAGAGTGTGTTGTCCCACCAGGACAAGGCAGAGTAAACGGAGGGGGCTGGGTGGCGCGTTTGGAAATTGTTTCCGTTGAAAGCGATTATGAGTGAGGTGAGGGGGGGGAAGGTAAGAGCGGCCTTGCGGGTAGACGAACGAGATGTGGCAGAGAGAACCGTGTATCTTTTGTGCGTCCAAAAGCTGGCATTTGCCCGCCTTGCATTTGATGCGGAAATCTCGGATTCGGTGCAGAAACTTCAAACGCTTGTTCTCGGGAAGGGCGACCGATTTGTTGGGTATGTCCCATAGAAAACCGATATAGGTTGGGTTGGGGAGGTAGTCCGTCCATTTGGTGGGGTGCCATGGGATGCAGAGAGGTTGAATGGCGGCGATGGCGTCTGCGCGGGAGAAGGTGTACCAGAAAGAAGCCGGGTGAGGTGCAGGGGGGATGCGGGAGGAGGCTGGCTGTCTGAGAGAGAGGATGTCGTCCTCGTAGCGGTTTGCGGGGGCAAAACCGAGAGCCGTCCAGATGTCCATGATGGCGGAACCGATGAGGCCCGCGTTGCTGCTTGAAGAAGCGCAACCGAAAGGACAACAGTGGTCTATGTAGAAGCCTTTGGGGCCCTGGAGCACGAACCATCGTTTGTGGGCGGGGAGGATGGGGCAGGTGCGGTGGAACTTAGCGATGTCAAGGACCATGGCCTGGGAGCTCGCGGGGGCAGTGGCGATCTGGGGATGGGGTCAGCGGGGGAGGGTGGCACGAGGTGAGAAAAAAGGAAGGGCACGCGAGAGTCTGGGGGAAAGACGAGCACGATACGAGGGAAGGGGCATGGCACGGGAAAGAGCACGGCACGGGAAAGAAAGAGGCACGGGAAAAAGCACGGGCACGGGAGAAAGCACGGGCACGACGTGGGAACGGGAGGGGGACTTAAGCACGGGACGGGGAGGTGGCACGAGCCAGGCAAGCACGAGGATTAAGCACGGTAAACGAGTACAGGTGGAGGGTGTAGCACGGTAGGGGACGTTGGAAACGATGGGGAGACAGGTCATGGAAGGGAATCAGTACGGTAGATAAAAGTCCAACTCACGATTTCCGCCACGTCCGAGGCTGATCCAAACTTAGTGGGGAACTTTTCTTTATCGACAAAGAAATTTGTGGATGGGTGAGTTGCGTCGCCCTTGGAGAGGTGGCGGCAGAGACGGAGTTTGTCTGGCTTGCCTGGGCCCTGGGGTTGAACCGCGATGAGGATGGGAGAGCATTGGAAGGGGCCTTTGAGAATGGTCTCCGTTTTGGACTGGGAGAAAGGACCGCTCATGCGACCCGCCTGGACTTCGTCGTTCAAGTAGTCGTCGACAAACTCGTCGTACTCGCGGGTCGATGGGTGGTTGGCAAAAATGACGGTTTCGTTGAG